AACTGTAATATTTTCGGGCTAATTAACGTTTTCTTTTACCGATGTTCTGCAGGCAGTCATTCTGACTCGTGCTGAGATGAGCCGACAAACGTTTTAGACAGCTCGCAATTTCCACGACTCAAAGAGGTTGGCAAATAGAATAGTTTAAATATTATATCAATGTTACGTTTTTTATTTTATTTTCCACACTCTGTGGATTTAGAAAATGTCAAAGGCTGAATAAACAGCATACTCTCATTTGTCTGGATATCAAGGCACTTTTTTTTACGAAGGTGCTGCTGACAACGTGTGGCCAATTTGTGACGGCGTATAATTTCAAATGTGGGTGGAAAGCTGTGCATCCTGAGATAACCGACACGGACGTAACAGTGAAGACCACCAACCCTCCACAAAACCAATATCCTTATCCGAAATCCAGCTCGCTCTCCTTGCTTATTACAGGCACCGGTTTTCCCCTGCAGGTGAGTCTCACAAGTACAGGGGTCACTTATCTGCGTGACCCACCTAGCTAGGCCACGCATCGCAGCTACCACACAAAATTAATGAGCTCTCCACTCAAAGACAAAGATCCCCTCCCACCCCCATAGCCTTAACAGACTGTTGGGGACAAGTGTTAGCGAGGAGCACCTAAGAAGGCCGGCACAGCGCACGAGGGTGTGGGTGGCCAGCACCATGCCCAGCGACCTTTGTTTCCACAGCTAATATTTACACACCGCACCAGGTAGTCATTTTAAGGCTGAGCCGATCGAGGGGAAACCCAGGACCGGTTCAGATATTCGTCACCGATGTTGGCTGCGAGCGGGAATCTAACTTGGGTTTTCCGCGTTCGTAGCGCAGCGCGCTAACTGCTACACCCCCCCCCCCCGCACACAACCGACGCTCACGCAACCAATCGCAGCTGTGTGCAGCCACGGCTGGAAGCACTGTCGGGATTCTGCCACTTTACATTCATCACGTGCTCGCGCTCCCATCGCAGAACACCAAGTCGGCTTCGCTAGACCTTTAATATATCGTCGAGAAATAATGAAAATCCATAATACAGTGTAAACACTGACGCAAATAATGACCCTTTTTTTATATCCCCATCTTCCTCATTCATAACGTAGGCAATGAATAGGTTGGCTTTCGACCATGCTGTGCTTTGGTAAACTGTAATTACAGAAAATGCCCTTGTCATTTTAAAGACGGACAGAAAGCTGCCTCCAATCCCGGTGGTAATTGCCAACTGGTGGAGGCAATTCAATTTGCATTTTAATTTAAAACATGAAAATAACTCCACGTGATTTGAGGGGAGGTTGCTATTCATCGCGCGCCACCACAGCACGTGGAAACCCACGAACGATGGGTCCCCGTAGCGTGCGAACGTACACAAGTGTCTGCATGCGGATTTGTACTTTTATTCTTCGCCGAGAACCGATCGCCAATATTTGCACACAATTGCGAGTGACTAAAATATGCGTTTTGTTGGGGAAAATTCTTACTTTCCATTGTTATGCTCTGCACAAAAAAACATGAAATCGGCAAAATCTTTACAATTAGTGTTTTATGAATTGTTAACAATGACTTTTGCAGTCCGGAACAGCAAGTGCTGTTAACATTTAGGCAAAACATTGCACGCACGTGAAACGTTTACAGGATTACTGTGTTTCTTAACATTGATCCTTCCGCTCACGACTCACGCATCATCAAATTTCCTGAGTAAGAATCATTGTTTTTTAAATCCGTGTACGTTTTACGTTGTACGTTACGGGTGTACGTGCCTACTGCAGAGAGAGGCTCAATTCACGACAATGTAAAAGAGTGCGTCGCTGTTAACGACTATTTAATTTCACGACCCTCATTTTATATCGCGGCCCTAACGAGCCGGGAGTACACCTAAGCGCCTGTGTCTCTCCTGGGGCACCACGGTGATGAGATGTTAACTCCCTCGCCTCCTATGCAGGAGGTCGTGGGTTCAATCCTCACCCTGACGCCTGCTGTATATTTGGAGTTTGCATGTTTTCCCCGTGGTCACGTGGATTTTCATGCAGGTCCTCCGGTTTTTGCTTCTACATTAAGAATCATGCGTTCAGAGTGTTTGGCTCCTATGAATTTCCACATGATGAGCCACTTCGTTGAGCTATCATTAGTCGCCAGGTCGCTTCTGAAAAACGGCTATACAGCTCAGTGGGCCTTACCTGGTAAAATAAAAAGTGTTTAGTTTCATAGATCATTTTCATACTCGGGTATTCCTTCAACCTAGGGGAGGCACTTAACCATCTTCACCGACCAATTGCCACCAGTGTTATGTCTCCTCCTCCCTCCTTGTCCTTTCCTAACCAACAACTGAACCTCATGGCAGAGACCCCGGGGTCCGATAAGCCCCCGGCTTTCGCATAAACCGCGTTGCGACGTCATTTTATGTCTGGTGAAGGCGAACGACGCGGAAATCTATTCCTCTCGACGAGCTCTACACGATTCGTCAATCAAAGTTTAAAAGTTTTGTTAATGACTACAGCAATTTTGGCAACGACGGGTGCTCGGTGAAGAATGAGAGGATTGATTTCTGGTGGGCCGCCGCGGCGTTTATGTGCGCGGTGGGACGGAGTCGCCAAAAAATAATTCATTAATTACGATTTTGACTTCCGTTTATTCGGTAAGGTTCAACTTGCTGGATCTGTGCGAGCTGCATGACGCATCCTGACGGGACCACCACTGGGGCTGCTCCCAGAGTCGGCCAGCGTGGTAGCAGCAGTGGCAGTCGTCCATCACATACTCCTTCAGCCATCTCAGTGCCAACGGAAACACAGCTCCTCCACGGGAGGCTGCCCTGACAAGCACATCGGCCCAACGTGGGTTCACAAAACTCGCGTGCCAGGCATCGCAAGGCAATCCTCCACACCTTTGCTGTCTTGCGTGTGTCTGCTGTGATGAGATGGCACTCCGCCGACTACTTTCCGGGATAAGATTTAGCGCGGGATTTAGTCTGCGTGCCGCAGAGACCCCGCGATGAAATAGAAGCCAGTTATTGCCGCAATAAAAATATAAACCCCAATGCTCAATTCCTTCCGTATGTCAGAAATGGCTCCCCTGGGGTATTTCTGCAAGGATTTTAAACATCCGCAAGTCAATACGAGGCCTGGTATCTTTTATTGCCACTGTGATCGCCAGTCGAGAAAAGTTTGTACATTGTGATAATTTGAAGCAGCGGTCGTTAACCGATGAAGGTCATTTGATTTTGCATGTTTGCACTTCTAGACAAAATGATAATATGCCCACAGACAACGATTGCACATTTCCGTGATGATGACGATAATTATGATTATTATTTTTCATTTTGCATGTGGAAAAAAAAACTATTTTACAAACGTTAACGTGAGGCAATGGGCCATTAGCGGTGAACATGACCTACACTGAACAGGGAAATAACTTTTTCAAATCTATAAGGGAATACCGCAGTGGATATTTGTTCAGTGTGCGTTCCCTTTGAAGCCCCGAAGTAGACTATTAAACTATAACAGAGAACAACGATGAATCTTGCCATTGGTTGCAGCTACACAAAGCTAGTTCAGCTGTAATAATGTTACACGCATTAAAAGTTACGCAGTTTAAAGGTTCGCAATTTCCCTTCAGAACACTCCCTTTGAGTGTGCTCTTGCAAATGACACCCAGCCGACTGCATGATTTGCAAGAGCCTCATATACCGTAACACATTTCTATTTCACATCAGGAAAAAAAAAACGTGCGTTGTACCGTCCGTCAAAAGGCAGGATCATTTCAGAATGTATGATTTGGGCTTAGAAAATGTTGCAGGTGCAAGTTGTCTGTGCAGAGTTAGGACGACAATGATGACGGACAACGTGATGCGCGCACTACGGAGCTCCGGCTCAATGTCCCAAACATGTGCAGGGGAGAGAGAGGAACGGCGGCGGATTGCGTCCTGCGTTGTGAGAATGATCGGAGCAAATCCACCTGCTCCTGTCCCCGTGTGACTCGAGGCGGGAGACGCTGCCTGTCGGCGCATCAACCGCGTACGGACGTCGGAGCATCCCACGTGAAAGAGGCAGCGACCACCGTGATGGCAACGTCAACATCGACGGGAGACGGGACGCGAGAGACCCGACGCAGTCAATGCTCCCGCTCCCTTTTTTTCCCTGACCTCGCTAAACTTAAATATTAATCGAGAGCCGCGAAAGCACTTTGCTCACCGTGCCAGATCGTTGCGAGTAGAGGCGGTGTTCATTTAAGTCGGCTTTTTTTTTTCCTGTCGTATTGGTTGACAACAACGTGTAGTCTTCGGCTGTGGATTTCACGTTGTCATTCTCCTCAATCTGGTCGACTAAAGCCATCAATCATTTGGTCCGCACTCGGTTATTAAATGTTGGGGTGTGCATTTACCACCCCCAACCCCGCCATAATATCAGGGCAGCTAATCGCTGAACTCAGTAAATCTTTGCATGTTCATTTATAGCAAAACACAATTTTGGTCCTTCTCGGCGCACTGCCGTCGATAACAACTTCGTCTGAATTTCGATTTAAAGCTTTCGTGACTGCAGGGATTCATCTTCTTGGTTCTTTCGGTAAAGTCACGTAGAAGCGAAGTAATAAAATAATAAAAATAAAACATAATAAAATAATTCTCACGACGTTTCGGCCACTACGCAAGCAGCCGTCCTCAGGTGAAGACCAGGTCTGTCGGGGAGACAGCGTCTGAATGACTTCACCTGAGGACGGCTGTTTGCGTTGTGGCCGAAACGTCGTGAGAATTATTTTATTATGTTTTATTTTAATTATTTTATTACTTCCCTTCTACGTGACTTTACCGAAAGAACCAAGAAGATCAACTTCGTCTAGTCACCACCACGTCGGTGCGCACTCGCAGTCATCATCAGGTTGGATGACTTTAGTTCGCCCGGAAGCCGTCGTCGACTCAAAAAAAATAGAAACTCTCAGCTGGGTATTCCCCCCCCCCCGCCACTAACTTCGGCAACAAAATAACAGCACCGGCGCGTGTCACCCACCCGATGCGCAGCTTTAGCATGCCGCGGAAGAGCTGCGGCGAGTTGGAGATGAGCCAGCCAATGTGGATGACCAGCTCCTGCTGCAGCACGGCCTCGCGCGGGTCCAGGTGGCGGCAGGCGTCGTAGAGCAGCCGCTTGATCACCGACGGCGACAGCGGGTTGGAGATGATCACTTCCTCGTGGCCGAACGTGCCCAAGGTCACCTGGGCGAGTCGGTGGGAGCGGGCGGGCGGGCACGCGGGAGCGAGCGTAGGATGATAACAATCACGGCGCCCAGAGTGAGCCGTGCCGCAGCCAACATTTTTTTTTTACGCTCAAGATGAACTTAATTGCCGGTTTTTCTTTTTCCGCGGTGGAAATCGCCTCACCAACTCATGGTTCTGGGATTGGAGCACTGAGCTGGCACTGCTGAGACGCTAAGTTAATATCTGGGTTTTCAGTCGCCCATGTTTAAACCGGGTTCTCTAGTGCAGTGGGGTCGATGGTCTCAGACTGTTCTACCAATGAATGCACAAACAAACCCGTGACATTAATTTAGGTTTTTCACAAATTTGGTGAATTTTTCAGCCGTAAAGCGTAAATAATTGGTTTAATGGACATGCAATGAACAGAGTTTCCATGGCACTAAAAAGTGTGCACTTCGTGCGGATAAGACGTCAATTGACACGACTTCAGAAGAAGGTTCCGTAACTTCATGTTTAGGGATGTTCTCTGACACAAGGTGATGCACTGCTATCTGCAAAATGGAAATGTTTTCACCTCACGGCGTGATGCCAACAACTCAAGCGGAATAAAATTGTCGGGGAAAAGGCCAGCCTTATTTGAGAATGTCGGTAGGGTTACATACAACTGCACCCGCTGTATAATAAGGATGTGTAAAACGTGTTACTCTAACTGATTTGTAAGAGAAGCGGCTCCAAATTTCGAATAAAATATCGTCCTCCGATTCTGCAGATCCAGTGAGTTATATTCACAAATTATGTTCAGGATGCCCCTGCTCCAGAGTTCGTCAGGCATAAAGAAAGTTTCCGAAGTGTATTTTTCTGCACATGGGACTGCTGTTCCGTGTACTTGTTTCCTGCGAGTGCTCTATTGCTCAGCTCACAAAAGATGACCTCGCCAATTGGGAGCGATTACTCTGGAAGGTTCCATCCTGAACGAAATCATCATTCTAGCTTTGCCGCGCCGTGAAGGACGACGACCAACATGCAACGTTCGCATGAATGTAAAAGCCTCACTTCCATCTCGCTGTGAATGCGACGCAGAATATCCATGCGTGACCACAAGTGGCGTCACATGTCCGAATCACACCTTTACCAATCTCTCGAGCGTTGCATTCAAGAAAGTTAACACGGCAAGGTTTCGTTGAATTCTAGATTGTCATTCCAAGCTACCTTTTGACTATCGATAGAATTTTCTTTTTGGGGCAAATAGTCAACGGTGAAATTCTGCCTGGCAGCGGTGAGTAGGACTGTGATTTATTTTTGCAAACTCCAACCTTAAGCAGATTTTTATTTACAGCCCTTTGTCAATGCACTGCTGGATTAAAGGCACCCCAATGCTGTGCCGGTCATGGGGTTTACTTGATTGTACACTGCTCTGTGTCGCCTGTTGAAGAGGGGGCGGTGGGGGGTGGATCCAGGAATGGTTCCGATATCACTCGCCAACTGATGTTCTCTGTGGCCTGGAATTGAACTGAGATCTCACCCGGGTTCATAACCCAGCGCACTGATCAATGTGCTACTGCTCCACCCCCAGCTATTCACTAATCGATTATAATCATACCGTGCACACGGATAACGTAATAATCAATTCAGCTATGTGGAGCTTTGGTTGCTCGTAGATGGATCCAAAGTCGAACTTGGTACTCTTTTCACGTAGTGTGATACCTCGTGCCAAAACTCGTGCTATAAACGAGCGAGTAGTTCTGCCCAGTGACCTCCTGGCAGAGAATGCCTTTGCCACTCCACATGGCCTCAGTGCAGTAAATAGAGGGTTTGTGCTGCACGGCGACATCAAAACACGTAGGCAGGCATGTGTAAAATCATACACGCGTGTAAAAATTTCAAGACACAATTCCACCGCGACTGTCATTTGTCGGTTTACAACGTGAAATCACGAGGTGACTGCATCATGAAGGTGCTGCCATCCACGCGTGGTGCAAATCAGGGGGCGACTCAAACAGCAGCACAATTTCGTCGTTGCTGCGGTCACCACCAGGGGTGTGACTCAATTCCACAGACGCCACCACCGTGGGGCTCCGTCAGCTACGGACGTTGGGGGCCCACACCTGCCCGAGGTGAGAGACCTTGCCACTGGCAGTTTGGAAATTAATGTTCACACCCGTGTGCCTCATTTACTGGCAAACGTTAACACAATTAAGTGCAAAGATTTGAAGGGGGAAAAAAATCATGAATCATCTCGGTAAATTGCATCTGGCTTCTGTGGAAGATGACAGCCACCAATGGACAAATTTTGTTAAAATCGGGTGATCGGTGGTTTACTCTTTAACAATTCAACAAAAACGTGCTCTCTCCACACAAGCACTATGAATTCAGATGTTGAACAGCCCACAGCACAGCCTTTCATCTCAGCAAGAGCATTAGTACCAGCCAGCAAGCTTCATTAGTTTCAAATAACGTGGAAATTTGCGTTTCAATTTTACGGCACTAAACGACGCAACTGAGCATTGCGGTTATGGATGCGCGTGGAATTCCGAGCACCCAGACGGATTGCTTAGCTTTGTCGATGGATGATACTGAAGCTTTTCCCCAATTACGCACCACGAAAATGTGGGTTTTGGCGCAGATCTCTGCGTAGTAAGGCACTGCGCACGAGAATTGTGCACTTCTTAACCAACTGATCTGGTGGTAATGCAGTTTAACTAGACTTCATCACAATTGATCAATACAGTATGGTAATTCATAGAAGCATAATGTGTCTCGTCTTGTATATTTCCACGATGGAAATTTTGTGAAAAAATGTAAGAAATTTTGTCAGTAACGTTACAATGAAGGCAAAGTTGTAGCCCAATCACATGATCTGAAATAAGTTTTACTTTTGATTCCCTCACAAGGTAATTCACCACGGTATACCACAACACCGCAGTAATTTTACAATGGTATATTGGACCAGAGGTAGAATGTTGCATAATTTTTAACACCAAGTCTCCAGATACCAAAGTCGATCCAATTTCCAGATCAGACAAAAAAATGAGTAATGTCACAGTTAAGAGATTTACAGCACTGAGGAAAACACGGTTAGCATTTTCAAAGGTTACGAAACGGACCAAAATCACTTCTTATAAAAACTGTAATCTTAAGCTGTAATTAAATTGGGTACTGGTAAACCCAGATGCAGGTGGCATTATTCTGTCTAAAATTACCCAGAGATTTGCTTTGAGGGTGTCAAATGTGGTTTGGCTCTGATTAGGCAAGGATGCATAAATTGAATCAGTGTGGAAGTAAATGATGCTATTTTGCACACAAAGCTGCTTAGTTTGTGAGATAAAAGCAAGGCAAGTCTAATGAAGGCTGTTATGCCACTTCTGCCGATCTGTCAAAAGACAGTTTTTTTTTGTCTTGAGGAAGAAAATAAAAAAGATGCGTTTGTCATTACGTGCGAAATGCCGTGACTGCCATTGCAATAGTGTGACAAAAATAGTTTCCGCTGCGTATAAAAAGACACGGCTCGCAATTTAAGCTTTCAAAATCCACGTTGGGTTCGTAGAAAGAGGGTAAAAAAAAAGCAAACACTAAAAAAACTACCGAAATTAGCTTTTCAATATCCTGCTGGTAATCATGAGTACAGTATGTGCATGTAGCATGGGGTGCACGTGCCATTCGGTTTTATTTTAAATTGGGAAGAGGGGATACCGCAGACATTGAATTTATGTGAACCTATGGGCTATTATTGACGTGCGGAAATCAATTTTAACTCCACGAAGGCAAAATTAGCCGGGGCAGATTTCTCTAGGCTGTTTGAATAACGTGCACCCGAAGGATTTAATATGAATTGAAATGCATCCCGTAATTAAATTACAAAAAAATTGCCCATCACGATATTCACGATGCGCGTGCAGTTCATCACATGACAGCACTTGATATATACCGGATTAAAGTAGAGTATAAATGTACCTGATCGGTCACCAACATACCATTGTAAAAACGTGATTAAAATATCGTATATCCAAAGTCATTATCTTTTAATCAAATGTGATTTTTTTTTTGGTTTTTTTAGGTGTCACTGTTAAAAAAAGACCAGATTGGCCAAACTCACCTGTTTGCTATGCACTAGGACGTTAGTAATGGACGGGGCAAGGCTGTCCACAACCTTATCTAACAGGCTTGCGGTGAGCCGCACAACAGACCTGGTGACATGGACGAGAAACGTGGGGAGGGAGCGTACATGCAGCAATGCACACTGGGAAAAACCAAAGCATGCGCGAGCGGCGAGGCGCACGGTGCCGGCCGACAGCCGCCGGACAATGGCCAGCGGAGAGATACCGATCGTCCTAAAACCACATTCCACCTGTCGCTTTTCTAGGGAAATTTGTGACGCTGCCAACAAGGGAGCCCGTCGCATTCGAGGTGGAGCAACGACTTTCTACATCGCCTGTGCTTTCCGCGAGTCAACGTAAAGTAGCCGGGTTGGACCGACGGTCCGGCGCTAACCGATTACCAAGCCCAAGTCGCTCGCTCACCGGCGGTCGGACGCCTCCCCGTCACCCCGTAGCTACCAACGTGGTCAACGTTCCCATGAACCCTCACTCGTCGATTCGTCCACACACGTCGAGGACTCGGGTCTAGCAGGCTGCCTGCTTCGTGTCGTCTGCACTGCGTTCCACCAACGCACCACAGGTCACATCACTTCCCTTCCTGCTACTCTCCTCGCGCTGCTCTACTTTGGAATTCCCTTCAATCGTTCGCTTTCCCAAATTTCTTATAACATTAACTCGTATAAAAATTATACCGTGCAATATTGCTGTTTGTTGCTGGTCACTTGGTATTTTGGGCCTTTGATCAACATCCATGATTTAAAAACAAGATACAGCGCCATGCCAAAAAGCTACGCTAATGTTTGTTTACGCTGCCATTCGTTTTTTTTACATTTTAAATTCACAAAGGACAACTCTTCAACTGGGAAGCTCTACGTATTACAAGCGGGCATGGATTGAGAGACTTTATTCTGAGATAAAGGGATTTCTTTTCGAAATGACTTCGGAGCTAGGGTTTGGTATTTTTGGAGCTTTACCGAAATGACCGGATAGCAAACACGGCAAGGGTCGTTTCAAACAACCATCGTTAAAATGTGAACGTCAAAACTTTCCTGGCGTGGCTGAACTTTCACTCTCAAACACGAGCCAAAGTTCTCTGCCAAGAACTAGCACAGACAGCGCCTTGCCCTTCAGCCTCAACGCATCAATCTGCCTACCCATTTTGGTAAGCGTCGAATATATTAAGTTTCCTCATTTTACATTTCCCTCACTTATCGGAGGAACCCAATAATTTAGTTTGCTGCCCTTACAAACCAATAACCTCCACGGCTTTGTATGCATGTATGTTGAACTTCTTTCGCATCGCACGTAAGCCAATCGTAAGGTGAGGAAGCAACAGAATTTTGATCGCCGATTGAAATTCCTGAACGGGGTGGAGTGGCGGTCAAAGAACGATGGGTGCTCTCCTTGCTGCATTGTTGCTCAACGCTGGAGGTAGTCGGTACACAAGCGGCATTGGTGGTGGCGGTGGGGGCGGGGGGGGAGGGGGTCGGGAAGGGAGTCACAGCATGGGAACACACGGCACGGCAAAGCGGGTCGACCCACAACTGCCCCTGCAGGTGGTCACAGAGACACGGCACGATGTGTGAGTCCACAGGTCTCCGCCTGAAAGTTCGGGCAACAAAATATACACAACAGGGAGGAGCTTGCTTTGCTGGGTACTGCAAAAGAGAGGAGGAAGAAGAGGAAGAAAAAAACATTCCTACGTACTATTGGTGGGGTTAGGAGCATTTTGTACATTTGCAAAGTGGCCGTGTGGAACACCAAAGTGAGACTTGATTTGTTGAGAATATTAACGGACATTGACGTAAGACCAGTGAATGACAAATCACATGATTGGGGTCACTGGGAAATGGGGGAGGCCTTCACATGTTTTTGCAACTCTCCCAAAGGCACTCATCTTACCACAATCCCCTCTAAGCAAAAATGACATTAAGCAAAGTCAGGGCCCTGTCTTGTTCGTGTACAGGTCCGTGACCGTTCCTCTACCTGCTCGGAGCTGGAGGAACACAGGACGACGTCTCAGCACTGCGCGAACAAAGCAGGCAAGCGTGACTCGACCGCGGATCCCCAGAAAAAAAGTCTCCCTTTCAAGCCTGCAGGGCCACTTTGCGATCGGTCAGCTCAAGAGTGTGGAGTTGGGTTACGTGGCAAGAACGGTACACGGGACGGGTTCCGGGGAAGACGCGGGTTCGGTCCGGGGACGAGGAGACGGCGGCACACGTAGCCGGCCGTGCGGCTGTCCCAGTACCTGTTTGCCCTCCACCAGGATAGTCGTGAGTGCCGGGGCAATGGCTCCAGCATACCGCTGAGTCAGGTAGGCTGTCTGTCGGAGCACACACCTGGCAACAACCACAGCACGCCCATGCGGTTCACTGCAGTCTCGGAGGCTGCCCGGTGGTGTCGCTCGGAAGGCGGGCACAGCGCAAAGGGGGTTTTTGCATTTTCATTTCGTTGTACTCTATGCCGGCACATTCTTGACAAATAAGATACCGGACTTGTTTATATAACATCGGGTTTCATACTTATGTTGTTACTTATTTATTGCACCATGTTTAGATGTGTTTATTATTTGGGAAATAAACCAAAGCCTGGATGTTTCAAGGTTTTAAAATAATGTTTCCAAAAAAATTTTGGTCTCTCACTGTCAAACGAGAAATGCCGAGCGGTTGAAAAGTTCCCCCACAATGCAAAGGAAGTAAACACCGCTGCAGCAAATATTCGTAACAAAAAGATTCCACCTCCCTTCCCGACCACGCTCCGCTTTGCTCCGCAGGACACGGCGAAGCGAGGCGAGCAGTATCAAACGCACCCCAAGGGCCGCAAAGGTCCCGTCCGTTAGGTGGACGCATGAGAGAGGTGCCAGTGTGGGCTCAATTTGACACCTCGGGCAGCAGTGAACAATGCAGTCACCAAACGCCTTCGGCCACAATGGAGACGTTCAAGCAGGCACATTTGGGCGACACGCTTATTTCCAGACGAAAGACTCGCTGCCGATTTTTACAAGGTAATAAAATAAAAATCTTGACTTAAAGCTTTCGTGATTGCAGGAATTCATATTCTTTGGGTGTTACGGTAAAGTCACGTAGATTGGTTCAAAATAAAAAAAAAATAAACAAAAAACCACGACGTTTCGATCGTAACACAAGCAACCATCTTCAGGTGACACTTGGGCTACGCCCATCTTAAACCTTTAAAAGCATCTTGCCTTTAGGAGTTTCCCCCACCCCCCCCTTTTTTACACCTGAAGACGCTCGCTTGTGTTGCCATCGAAACGTCGTGGTTTTTTGTTTATTTTTATTAATTGTGAACCTATCTACGTGACTTTACCGAATGACCCAAAGAATATAATGAACTTCTACTCTTGCCAAGTGGATGATACCAAGGCAATAATGTATTTTCACACACCTCCAATTAGCACAGTCGGCTACGTACAGTGCAAAGGAAGTTCAACACATGCGCATACAATAGCAGCAACTCGTCCTACTCTCACTTATTGAATAGGTCACAATTGCCATTGCCGAACCGCCATGCGAGAGTTTGTGTTACGACCCGTTTGCGAGTAACCCCAGCCCGAGCAACGCGTCACCCAAGGCGCCGCTCCTTTTGGGCAAGTCTCGAGCACGTCGCGCTGAGCCGAGCCTGTTCATCCTGGTTAAAGGTGCGTTGGGGCAAGTGGTGGCGGCATGCCGAAAAGCGATGTGGAAATGAATTGAAAACCCACAATACACAGCGGTACGCCACGGCCACGCGGCGTTACGCGCGATCCACCCTGGGGGTACGTTTTTCCGCGCTGCTTAAGCGCGACGTCGATTGTGACTTTACGAGCTGTAATATTTCCCCCGAACCTCCGATTAGCACGGTTGGCTACGTATGGTGCGAAAGAAGTTCGACGTACCGTACATACGTAAAACATACAGCCCACCTGTCGGACACAGTCCACATCGATCGAACGTGGCTATTATGCTCCCAATCCTCCGACATTACAATAATTAATCGCCAGCGAAACCATCTGTGAAAAATAACACATTGGCTCGTGCGATTGGACAGATGTTTTCAGTGGGCTGAGTTGATTACTCGAGTTATGCTGTGCGATGGCATTTGCTTACACTTTGTGGATTTGCACGCCTGCCAACTTAAACAGTTGGTTCAAGCAGCCCATGGGTGAAATATATTTGATAGCCCTCATTGGTTGTTATTTGTTTTCCTTTGCTGTAGGCTTTTAAATAGAGCTACTAATAGGTAAGACATGGCATTCTATCACTCAGGCATCTTCTTTGTCAAATTCACTTAATATTTGCATTGGTAAACTTTCATTACTGTCTATTTAATCAAGTCAATATGTTGACGGAAAGAAGCGCCAAAACGATCCCAAACTGCCATTTCTAGTTGATGTGAAGGCCACGTCAAGTTTGGGAGGATCTCAAATTTTAAAAAATGTCGGTTTGCGGTTTGATTTTTCCGCATGAGCTCAGGATGCCATTGCCTTGCGGAGAACCCAGTTGGGGGTCGTTTAGCTCGTAAAACAACGGCAACAACGGCACCAACGCAACGTCACTTCTCCACCTTCGCGTTACCGACGCCAAACGACTTGACGCCTTGCGCCCATTTGCCGGGCGCATTTTTGAAAAAATTTAAATCCCAGGCATTTCTGTTGAAATTTAAAATGTTTACGCAATGCCCTCCCTACACCCCCACCCCCCGCAGCCGTTTAAATTAATTTCAATCTTTTCCGCTAAGTTGAAAGGAGATGAATAAAACGGGAACATTTCTCACTTGAGGCGAACACCACCGCCGCAATAAAACCTCACCATTCTATTACGCAAACAGATTGTAAACGTCCCTCAAAAGGGGGAGGGGGGGGGGGCACCTATAAGAATTCCACTAACCAGAGCTTGCGACTCCCGGCTGCGCGGTAGATTCTTTCCAAGTGATCCATCACCGTGCCTGCAATCGGAGACAGAGACGGAGAAACGGCGGCGCGCGCGACACCGTTACACGGCCTTCGTGGCGGCGAGACCAGGGCGGCCGCAGACTTGGTCCGCTCCGAACGCTACGCCTCAAAAGAGCCACGTAAATCAAACTCCGCGAGCCGTCGGGCTCCGCGACACACCGCCACTTTTTTTTTTCAATTAGCGCAGAGCGGGCTGGCACGGCTGATAAACGAGGCATTCACGTGTGCCAGCGTGCCTCGGTATTATGGGCGTAATGAAACGTGAACATTTCGCTGCAAGCTACGGGGAGGAAAACTTAAAAGAGGAAAGGGAGAGAGATGCATCGTGCAGAAAGATAAACGTGAGCCACGCGACGTGCAAGCGCTCCAATTTACGGGCGTGTGTGCGTAGCCGCCGTGGCGTGTTCTTTAGTTCATGCGTTTGTGCAAGTGGAACACAGCTGAAACATGCAAAGAGAGATGGACAGAGGAAGACTGGAATTTTGCCTTCCAAACAGAGAAAGGAAAATATGGATCGGAGAACACATATGAAAATTAGAGACATCATGTTCTCAGTTTAAGAAAAGAAAACCGGCTTGGGTAGGACGCATCGCTCGAAGTGACGACGGACAAGACTGGAGACAGAATGACAGCCAAAGGAGAGAAACACTCCGCCTGATAGGTAGACAACGGCAGACCTGGAGCGATGGGATCAGCTGATCTGCAGACGCAGTGAGGATTGCGGCATCGCGAGACCACACGAGGAATGAATGGAATTGACATGGGGAGGGCCCGTATCCAGAAATGGTTCGATCAGGTCTCATGATGACGTTGATGATGTCACGTGTGAATTGAAGCAAGGGATTACAAAGGGCAACAGTTGGCTGAAAAAGACAGCGTGCTTGTAATGTCGAAGAGAATTGCCTAGAATATTGCAAGCGAACCAACCCAAATATCTCTGCTAGAAGGACACCGTACAATCCGTGGTAGATTTGTTTTTTTAGGCTACTTTCATTAGTTTTTGCTGCCAATGGATAGAAACATCCGCACATTTCTCTGAGAATGTGTACACAGGGTTAATGAGATTTGTATGCGCACGGCAAGAGCAGCTGCAATCTTTTGAGAACAAGGCACCGAGACACGTTGTACCGACCTAATACTCGGCGCCCACTTCAAAGCGCCGTCCTTTTAGCACTGCTCATACAATGTTGACAAATGAAAATAGCAGAGCGCGCATGTTGCACACACAGTCCGCTCTCGCCGTGCCATTCTCCAAACGTTCCCATCAGCCTGTCGTATTTAGGCACGATTAGAAGCAATAATTACACGTGGTCCGTGCGAAACCACAGGGCGTCGTACGAATTAAGCAAAGGGCATGCAAATGTTTGAAGCAGAAATATTATACAAGCACCCATTTACGGAAGCCACTCATCACCAACCACACTGCATGCTGCTCCAAGTCGGCACGGGCTATAAGATGAATTCAACTCAACGTTATTGACTGCTGCGAGCTATCTTTCCCCCCCAACTCCTTTCATTTCACCTGCACAAGGTATATCTGTTTACACGCCATCCAAATTCATTATCATCAGCCATGATCAATCCACTGCTGGATGAAGGCTCCCACCCCACCACTCACCCTCACCTCCCCGCTCCCCCTAAGCCATTTCCATCCCTCGCGATCTCGCGCTGCATTAATCCAGCTTTCACCTGCACACTTTGTCGATTTCATCATTCCATCTTCATTGCTCGGTGGACGCCCTCTCGGATGCGTTCCATTCCTTTTGCCGCCCCCCCTCTCCCTCCGCTTCTTGCGACTTGCCCTGCCCAAACCCACTCGCCCAAACTGAGAACGACGCTATGACCCCACGCATGTTCTCCAGTCGGAAGCGCTCCTCCATCTCTCGATGCAATTCCGAGCAAGCATCACTTTTCAATCGAGCGTTCAACCTCCGTCGTCGTCGTCGTCAACGACCGCGTTTCCGAGCCCGCCGTCATAGGAGGCGGTACGCGCCGATGACGACAAACTTACTCCTCTCGGCCACACTAGCACGTCGTTCATTTTAACGGTGAAAAATTGCTTAGCGGGCGGAATAATGAGCTGGCAGGGGACGCCTGCCGCGGGGCGTGGAGACCGACGGAGATAAGATGGGGGGGGGGGGGGGGGGGGACGACCCCAGGCTTGGCAGCGAAAACCTCGCGCGGCGGCGGTGGCGGCGATCGCTCACCTTCCCCGGTGATGAAAGCGGCCCCCTCCCGCTTCAGAAGAATTCCAAGCAGCATGGCCTGGCTGGCCAGACAGCTGACGTCCTGTGGGGAGACGGGGGGGGGGGGGCGGAGAAGGAATAAATAAAAGGCGACGCGCGCACGTCGGCCACTTCACTCGCTCGCTGTACATTTTTTTGTTACTTTACAGTCTCGTGCACGTACGGCCCTGTGAATCCACTGCTGGATGACGGCCTCCTCACGCCGAACGGCTTCGTGGCGGTTTATTGGCAATCCTCAACCACGCGCGTAGGTGTTGGTTGGTGATGGTGGGCGGCGTAGACGTTGGAGCGTAGTACGGTATAACATTTGATCCCCGAAGCAGCCTACAGCAACCAGGTTTGAGCCGGCGCCAGCCAGCCAGGTCCAATTGCGCTGAGCTCCCGAGACCTGACGAGATTTCGGGGGGGTGTGATCCGGTGTACGATTTAATCGCAGGCTAAATTGTTACAGCGATGTTATATTCCCTCCCCCCCCAACCCCCCCCCCCCAGGTTTTCCTTGCAATAGAGGCAGGCTGGTTCAATGGGGTCTTCGCCTGACTGCGCAGAAACTAATGTACACGCACGCATTCTAGGGCGCAACTCACTTTGCATGTGGGAATGCAAAGTTTCAGTTTCCCTGGATTACACCCTCCTCTCAATGTGTTGTTTGGTGTCAAAGTCACGGGCTGAAAATGTAATTCTAATCCGTTAACATTTTACAGGTTGCTCTCTGCATGCTCTATGTGCAGTGACTGTAATGTATGTGGAACCCCACTGAAAACCACGTAAATATTGAGCGATTGTCTGTAAAGTTGCAGCGCTTCAGTTTAACGGGGAAAATAAAACCGGCTGGCGCGACGCTGAACATAACTTGGGAGTGTTGAGCGTCTCCCTAACGCACCCAGACACGTACTCATAAATAGGCCCGTTTTCTGGTGGGACCGTCACAGCTAAATTTACTGTATCAAATTTAGCTGTGACGGTCCCACCTGAAGACGGAGACTTGTGTTGCCTCCGAAACGTCGTGATTTAATTGATTTATTTTCATTCATTATTAGTTTATTTCCATAATTTTTTACCTACGTGACTTTACCGATAAAACCTAAGAGTATGAATCTTTGCAGTCGCGAAAGCTTCAAATCTACAATTAGACCTGTAGCGTTACGATACGAAGCTTATACTCTGCAAGATAGATTTGTGAATTTCATGGGTCTAACAAGCTCATAATAATTTGTATGAATCCAGTGCCACTTTCTTTGCTGGTTTTTAGCTTCTGAACAAAAAAATAAACATTGCTTTTTATCTCCCATCTACTTAGCATAAAAAAACATATATTCAAGTTTAATGTTGATGTATACTTTCTTTAAACTTTCCGATAGAACTAAGTCGAAGCTCGTTATAAACACATTTGTTTTATGAAGCCCCGCAAATTGAGGCATATTTTTCAGAACGTGTTTCTTTTCATTGAGATTTCCTTTGTTATTTTCTTTTCATTTGTGAGCATTACTTACCCACACAGGGTACATATTCAGTTGCTTTCTAATTTAGTTATTTTCAGTCTTTCCTGGGAGGAAGGGGGTGGAGGCGGAGTCATCTGTTACAAGCTGATACTACGGATGTGCTTAAGTCATTAAGCCGAGTAAAATCGGACGTAGCGTATTCCTGCTCAACGATAAACCGATGTTCAGTGGGACAGCTGGTTGGCTCAGTGGGTTCAGCCGCCACCATAAGAGTGCCTGCGCTCACAACCCAAAGCTCCCGGCAATCAAATCTCCGCAGCTGTGGGCACCGCAGACGCCCGCTTCTGTTGGACGCCAGTACCACTCGCGCGTGACTGCACTTGTTTGTGCCTGCATATATGTATTGTGTGTAGCATGGGCTGTGTGTGTAGCATGGGCTGTGTGTGTAACACACCATGGATCCCATAGACCCTGGCTCTATTACTGCCAGTAAACAACACTGATGGCAAAGGAAATGTAAATCTGGCCTGTGTCTCTTCCAGTCTGACTCAGATTAAAGTATGCAACCTGCACTGTTTGCAAAAGCACTGGCGTTGGGGAGACAAATGCAGTGGTATAGCACGGGCTGTACACCACTACCCCCTTTGTATGCCAGTTGTTTTATTGAATGAGTGCTCGGTGACAACGTTTAGCCTCAGCAGGGATTACTTATATCGTCGAAAAGCGAACAGAGGCGAGCCTCAGATGGTTTGGGCTTGTGTTGAGAAGAGGCAGAGAGACCCACAAACTCACACCGAGTCCCATAGACTCACACAGAGACCCATAGACTCACACAGAGACCCATAGACTCACACTTGAGTCTATGGCTATGAAGATGGCACCTGTACACGACAGTAGTGGAGACCCAGGTTGAGATGGTAAAATGCGGTGGAATAAGAGAGATGGTATTTATGTTGAACTTCTTTCGCACCGTACGTAGCCAACCGTGCTAACTGGAGGTGCGGGTGAAGGACAACAAACTAAACTCAACACGAGATGTGACGACAGTGGCGCTGACCAGGAAAGAGGCGCAGAACAAAAGCAAGCGGAGAAAGAAAATCCCAGCAGCTGACCTCGTGCACTATGGGAATGTCGCCTGGAAGTAGGTAGCAACGCCTGTCCCATCTGCATGGCGGAATAGGGCGTAGATCATGCAAAATTAAATTCGAGCCAACTTCTTTCACAACCCTTTCCTCGTGACAATGAAGCTCAGGACAAAGAAGCCTCCACAAGACCCCAAGCATCCGGGTTTCCATCGTTGTCCAACGCAGGCCCCGGTCGGACAGCGCGTCAAACAAACGTCGCGTGGACGTGCAGAGATGGAGGGGAGCGGGTAAAGAAGGCTGGGGGCACGTGGCGGCGGACTGGGTTCGGCTGCCCGGGGGGGGGGGGGGGGGGGGACGACGACAACACCCCGAGAGGGACCGCACACGCACGCACGCTGAGCTTCATGAGGATGTGCGCCGTGTCGGTGGCGGCCCACTCGGCCGGCGACAGATCGGCCTGCTGCTCCATCTCGCTGGCGCTGGGCGTGCTCGACTGACGCTTGACCCGTAGGTGCTTGGGCACGGAGAGCTCCTCCAGCCTCTGGAACTCGGGGACCCTGCTCGCCGCAAGCGCCCACAAACGGAAGGAGCGCGCGCGCCGTGTGAGAATGTGCACGTTGAACTTCTTTCGCGCCGTGCATAGCCAACCACGCCAATGGGAGGTGTGGGGAGAAGGGATCGTTTAGTTGATCGCGGGCATTCACAAATTATGAAGGGGCCACTGCACTGGCTGCATGCTGCCCCGGTGCAAGGTCAGCACACAGGGACTCGTAATCCAGAGGTCGCTGCTTCCAGCTCTCGGCACGGCAGTGGCAAGTTTATTATTGTTCAGGCCACAACTCAAAACGCATCTCTTTGCACTTGCATAAAAGAACTGACTCATCGCCACAAATTGCTTTTCTTTTTTATATTTTCAACAACTGTAGATAGTATTGTATATGCATATATTTTTTGTCAATGTTTAGAATATTTAAAAAATTATGTTGAGCTTTAATGATGCTTGCTTTTATTTTTTAAATTTTCAACAACTGTAGGTAGTATGTAAATGTATGCATATATATTTTTTTGTCATTTTTTGAATATTTAAATGTTATATTGAGTTTTAATGCGTTTTGAGTGGCAGATTTGGTGCGAGAAAGACGCCAATGTACCAAAACAAAAATAGCATTGACTCGACTATCACATGTAAGTCACATGTGTGGGACAATTTGTGGGTGCTCCCTCCTCTTCCAAGGCAGTGTGGAAGAGTAGGCCAAACACCCAATCAAGGGGCTCTCTAGAGCTTTGTATTGTGAAGGTCACTTCTGCCAGAAATTGCAGGGATGCACCTTTTTATGAAATCCTTTATATTAAGTTCGCGTGCTTGCTTGCTTGCTTAGGACCGTGCAAATTTTTCGGTCATTTTTTAACCCACTTCCCGTGATCCAATCGAGCTGACATTTTCCACACAGACTCGTTGTGTGTGACAATTAATTTTCGTGAAATTTTTTTTCCAAAATTTTACACTGTTTAGGGAAAACAAATTAAATCTTTAATTACCAATTGCTTAATGGTGCAATGCAATCATCTGACCCATAGGTCGCAGCCATCTCAAGCCAGAGGACGAGAGAACTCTAGCCGCCACGCATATAAAGGATTTAGAGTGAAAAACTTTGTTTTTACGGGTTATACTTGTTATCCGACTACGTTAATAATGGGAATGGTGAAACACGACCGCTATCCAAAGACTCCTACATAATTCAGTCGCTTGAGGGCAGGCAGGATTGGTGGCTCACACAGGGAAGGAGTCATCACGTGCTAGAGAACCAGTGAAAGGTGCCCCCATTAAGGAAATTTATTATTAAATGCACCATTTTAATGAATTACTTTTTTTTCCAGTTCTCTCTATCATCACGATATACAATATATATTTTGGCAGTTTAAATAACGCACTATGTCTCGTATTTGTGACATCTGGCAGTGAACTAAAAACCGTGTTGCTTTGGCGAAACATGTTTAAGCCGGCTAAATCCAGCGAGACGCGCAGATACGGTGCACGGGGATGTCCAACACCGACAGGGGAAGAATTCTAATTTAGCCGCTGTGGATAATTTGCAAATCCGGAACTGTACATTTGGGCCATGACTCCAGCCCACGACGGCCCGCTTTAATTAATCTTGACACGTGGCCTTTAATGTTGACTTTATAGTGGGGGGAAATAAAGATCGTTCCATGATGTATGTACGTATATATATAGATTGAACTTCTTTCGCACTGTGCGTCGCCAACCCTGCTCACGTGATACCCACAGTATCGTGAGTCACACATGGAGGTGTGCCTCGCTGTGTGCAAGTGAACACGACGGCAAAGTGCCCCAACCGCCCGGCTGCCTCACTGCACTCGAGACCCCAAGCGGCGCCGAGCGAGCGACAAACACGGCGTCGACTCCTCCTTCGCCTTCGTTTCACACGGCGGGGGCAGTTGACCGGCAATGTTCGTACGTTCGTGTCCGAGCTTTTGGCCGGTGGACTGATTGACAAGTCGCTTGTGCGGAAAAGGTCTGATGTGCCGCGAGGGGGAACGGCCGAAGCGGGCCACGGCGTTACGACGGCGATCCGCGGTTTGTGCACCGCTGGCCGCGGGTCACGCCATTGGGCAAACTCTTCACTGCCCACCGATGTGTTGAGGGACAGCCACGACATGTTCCCACGTGGTTCGATACGGCGGCTGACCGATGGTGCGCGCGTGCGGATCATCCACGACAACAACTCAATCGTCACGGGCAGCGTTAACAGCGTCACCCGTAACATTACGGAATTCGAGCAGGGCGGTGCGAAAATAATGGGCCAAACACCACGGAGGTGCGACGCTGACGGGGGACGATAAATGAATTTGACACGGCCTTCGCAGCACTTTGCTGAACATGGGCTCGATGGCCATTAAGGGATTCCGCTTCCAACATAGGCAGCCTTGCCTCTCGTATTTTAACAAGTCGTGGGGACGGCCCTCCCCCCCACACCTTCCCTGCCTGTGGGGAATCACACAACACCCTGCCCTAATGGCCCCCGTGCTGCCAGGGAAGGGCCCCTCCCAGCTGCCGACAAGGTCAAGGTCTGAAATGGGGGGGGAGGGGGGGGCCCGAACGCTCTTTGCTATAAGACGCGACTCGCTCGGCGTGCTATGAAATGCGAAAGCAAAACGTGTGATTTGGGATTAAATCTGTTGAAATTTGCAGTTTGCGAGCTCATCGTGTGAAGTGCCATCGGTCGACACGTATAAACAGATCTCTTTTTTAAGTCTCCACATGGGGATAAAATGTATTTTTATTCCATCAGCCCATTCGCTTTCTGACCAAAATTATTGAGCAGCATTTCTTTGAACAAACAAACTGTGGACCAGGTTTAACTCCACGGTCACGTCACATCTGCTCCAGGGTTCCCAAATGTTGAGCGCTCCAAACAAAGAATGGGGCTCCTGTTCAAAGCAACAACAAAAAAATTGCATATATACCGATGCATTATGCGTTGTTGTGGAGGATTATGGATAAAAACAAATATTAACTGGTAAAATTCCCAGCTTATGTGTCTATTTGTTTACTCATTGAGCAATGTATTTATCTCACACGCTGCCACAGCTTACGCGACCGAGTGTGGCACGGCTTTCTAATGACGATGCGGCAGAGCCAACTTAAAAAAAAAAGAAGTGCTTCCTCCCGCTGACAGTTTTAATTCTAATGCAAATATTCTCATGAAATATAGAGCACCGGGGAAATACATTTCACGACTCTTAATTGCTACGGGTAATGTATTTGGAGTGGAATCTGGGTTGTAAAAAAATGCATGTACTATCAATGTGTGCATACGTGTGCTTTTTATATCCACTGCATTGGCACGGTGGTGTGTATACTGCACTCCGAATCCAGTGACCTGACTTTGATTCCAGATCGCAGCCAATATCCTTGGAAGAGTAATATCTAACCCAGTTCTGGGCCCCCTCTAGCTGGACTCAGCCTAAAATCAGTACCCGGTGTAGTGTATAAACATTAGCATGTGCAAGACAAGGATGGCTGGCCATGGTGCCAGCATGAATAGGTGGTCGTTAACAGTAATTTCCCAAAAAAATCTATAAGGCAGCACAGGGTGACTTTTTTTGTCTTTGATGATAAACAGCCTTGCACTTCATATGTTCGGCCTTTTACCAGCTTTCGTCTCTGAAGTATTGCCTACAGTTCCTCAAAGTGGCGTTAATTACCAGCAGACATTTACAAGTAGCAACTGGGCAATGCCGTTCATCATGAGTGGCACTCCAAATCTGGCAACGGCACTGACACGCACTTGTCCACTCTCGTAAAGTGAGGTCAAGGAATGTATGAGTCCGTGCAAATTAACAAATTACACGCTTGTTGGAGAGTGTTCTGCCTTCGCCGTTTTGCATATCGGGGGAGGGGGGGGGGGAGATGAGGCCACAATCTAGTCTCAGAACCTGGGACCAAAGCGCAAGTTTTACGATTTCTCGGTTATCCACAGACACACACACAGATGCCAATGGGATAAATAAATTATGCAACACAAGAAGAAGGGTGACGTACGGTTCGTCATCGTTGATGCGCAAAAAGTCGAGCTGCTCCATAGCTGCTCCAGAAATGAGTGTCTGTTGAGCAATAGGGAGGGGGGGGGGGAGAAATGTAAATTATTTCCACTTCTTTTTGGAAAATAAACCTCACCACAAGCTTTCCGTGAACTCTAGCAATCGACTTACATCCCCAAGTGTGTCAGCCACAGAACCCCCACTAAGGTACCCAGACATGCCTTCTCCCACACCTCCAGCCATTGCTGCAGAAAAAAAAATGAAATCTCACCTTAACCCATCATAGCCCACCGTGAGATCGGACTAACTTAACAAGAGGCACACAATGAGCCCAATAATTAAGGATAGAAAAAACCCGCAGAAACCAGTCTTCTTTCCCCCCCCCCCCCTAATCTGATTAGAAATGTCTCAAAATCAATTAAAAAAACAACAGCCAATGTTAAAAGCACTAAGAATCTCCTGATTGTCTAATAATATTCACAGAAATTGTAACATTATCCATATTTGTTTATTGGGTTGGGCCACGTGGTAGCTTTATGCCAAATTTCTTGTCATTAACCCTCCACCCACCCGACAAAAATGTCACGTTCACAAAAACAGCATATCCATGTGCCAATGCGTCGATCGCATTTTGACCCAATGAATCTCTCCACTCGTGGCTGGCTAAAGGCTTTTCACGACCGAATATCAAACCATCGAAGCGAGGCATCGCTTCAAACTGCTCTAAGCCTCATGAGGCAGTGAATGATGGCAATCGAGTGAGAGACTGCTTGTCCTTCGCAGGCCGACTTGAATAAATTGAATCAAGAGGCACGCTTTCCAAAGCGTACCGTTTCAAGGGGTTGACTCTTGTTACCGACATCGCGAGCACAACTGGGCCACCTTAAGAGGAATGTGACTCACCGTTGCCCAATTTTATTGTTTATTTTTTTCTCAACTACAATCAGATTTGTTCTTGGTGCAATCTCACGCGATTGAAATCATCAAGTGTTCAATTTGCAACTCTCTCTCGACTTGCGATGCACCACCCTGCATCAAGAAACTGTGCCGGAAGATTACGTCACAGAACTACTTCTGAAGTCGTTCAAATAGGCATCTTTAGCCACATTTTTTGTTGTATATTTTCCTTACAAAAAAAACGGTTAATAGGCATGGCAATCAAAACTAATTATGCTGAGCTGAGATAACGCAAAGTAAGTGAACAACTACATTTCATTTTTCGATTTAAAGCTTTCGTAACTGCAGGGATTCATCTTCTTGGTTCTTTCGGTAAAGTCACGTAGAAGGGAAGTAATAAAATAATAAAAATAAAACATAATAAAATAATTCTCACGACGTTTCGACCATAATGCACGGGCATAATATGACTTTGAAACCCCCCGCCCACCTCCTACGCATTTCCCATAAATATGCTAAATTCATCTTGATATGCAAATTCTTTTGTCAAGGCGCTCTTCTTCCCCCCTCCAACCCAGCTTAAATATACGCTCCAAGCTTGGTGGTGTTTCATTCTTCACCTGAGGACGGCTGCTTGTGTTGTGGCCGAAACGTCGTGAGAATTATTTTATTATGTTTTATTTTTATTGTTTAATTACTTCCCTTCTACGTGACTTTACCGAAAGAACCAAGAAGATGAACTACATTTCATATGATGGGTTTTTTTGTGCACTGTGTTGAGACCATACATTGGACAAAAGGACTCGGCTTAATTAAGGGTGGTTGCTGAGGTTTGAACCCAGAAGCTCAACAGCACTGCCTCAGCGCTCCGACACAGCATTAACCTCAAGGCACTTGGCCACATTCAGTGACATGTAATTTAATTTCGTTGGTCACAGTTTGGCCGATTGCATTGCATCACACACGTGTCCAAAACGAGTTAGCGTTGAATACCGATGACGGGGGCGCACAGGTAAAGTGAATTTTCATGTTTCTGGGAACATTTCCACCGTCCGAGAGCACATTAAGAGGGCAGCAGAAAAGCAGACGTGGTGACATTGCACACTAATCTCACTCAACCTAATGAGGCGAAGTGGGAGACTGGGGGGGGGGGCAGTTTGGACCAGAATCTCAAACGGTTGCAGCCCAGCAGCTATAAAATTTCTCGTTGCAAAACAAAGTATCCAAATAATTTCTGCAAATGTTGCCTAAAATTCAATTATGCCACTTGCAGGTTTAATGGCGGTGTCATGATTTTGGACAAATGCTCTTTAAGGTAGTTCATCGATTTATGTTAAAACTTATGTTATACATTTAAACTGAATGTATTTACCTCAGACTCTCTGAACATGAATGCGAGCGCATACAACCATGAAAACCACAGTATCAGGTTTTCACACCTGATGATGATTGCTTGTGTTGCAATCGAAACGTCGTGGGAATTGTATTGTTATATTTTTATTATTTTATTATTTCCCTTCTCCGCGACTTTACCGAAAGAACCAAGAATATGAATCCCTGCAGTCACGAAAGCTTTAAATCGAAATTTAAAATCATTGCTAACTTTTGGAAAGCAGAAAAAAAAAAGACAACAACTACGTTTAAAAGGATGTGTGTAAGATTATTTTCTCGCGTACACATTTGTAACGGGCCTAAGCCCTGAGATATGTACTCTACAGAAGACTGAAGTGTTTTTATGAAAAATTGATTCAAATTTGATTTAAAAGTCTCTAAATCAGACGTGCTTGTTGTGCCTGTGGCCCCGGAGGTCAACAGCGGCTCTTAAAATAACAGTGACTGGCACTCGGGAGGCCTCGCAAGCAGCACTGCCTCATGTGTCAAAGCAAAAGGCGACATTTTTTCTCTCCTGCACCGCCGCTCTTGAATTACGACATCTCGGGCTCACGGCGCGACGTCCGGGGAGGTCACTGCGGTCACGGCGGAACCTGTGGCCGTGCCGCCCGCCACGGTAACAAGGGAGTCATGTTTTTAGACGAGCAGCGTGGAGCCGTACCTGCAGTCGATCAATGCGAACTTTGACCCCTTCGAGGCTGCCTTGCTTGAAGGAGGCCAGCATGTCCAGCACTGGGTTGAATCGGCTCCCCCTTTGCGCACGCGCGAGCACACGCGAGCACACGCGAGCACACGCGAGCACACGCGCGCACAAAGACAAAGATCCCCCCCCGTATAGCTTTAATAGACTTTTTGTGGAAAGTGCTGTTAGCGAGCACCTATGAAGGCCGGCACAGCACACGAGGGGTTTGGGTGGTCAACGCCACACCCGCCTGCTTTTGTCTCCCTAGTGGCGATGTTTGCACACTGCACCAGGTACTTATTTGAGGCTGAGTCGACCTAGGGGAGGCCCAGGACCGGTTGAGATAATCGTCACTGGTGTTGGCCGTGAACGGGGATTGAACTCTGGTCACCGGGTTCATAGCGCAGTGCACTTACCGCTCCCCACATTTATCACAAACGTATGTGCACGTGCACATATACACAGATGGTAACATAGAGAAGGGTAACTCAATTAATGATCCTACAGTCAGGGTGCATCTGGAGGGTGATATTGAGTGGGGTGTTTTTGAGCATCTGGTTCTGTGGCTTTGATCGCTTTCGAGCATGATCATCTCGCAGTTTGTGCTACCCTAAGCGTGCTGCATTTGTTACCTGTAAACAAGATCTCGCACAGACACACATAAAACAAGGCAGCCGCGTTAAGCACGCTCAATTACAGAATTACGAACCTTGCGAATAATTAACGGCGTTTCAAAAAGGTCTGCGGAAATTCTCACAAAAAAAGAGTGTCATCATTTAACTCACCTTAAGCACGTGTAAATATCTTTTTGGTTCTTTCGGTAAAGTCACGTAGGTTGGAGGGGGGAAGAAGAGCGCCTTGACAAAATAATTTGCATATCAAGATGAATTTAGCATATTTATGGGAAATGCGTAGGAGGTGGGCGGGGGGTTTCAAAGTCATATTATGCCCGTGCATTATGGCCGAAACGTCGTGAGAATTATTTTATTATGTTTTATTTTTATTATTTTATTACTTCCCTTCTACGTGACTTTACCGAAAGAACCAAGAAGATGAATCCCTGCAGTCACGAAAGCTTTAAATCGAAACGTGTAAATATGTTTAGAAAATCGGCAGGCTCTGTTGCACGGATCCCTCCTAGTTTAACGCTCTTCACCATTTAGTGATATTTTCACCATCATCCACATTTATATCTCCATTTTCGTGGTCTCTCTTCCAATTCATTCAATTTTTTCTCTCTAGTGTATATCATGGCGTGCTGACTTCAGTACTCCCGTACACCGCAGTTCCCCTGTTTCGCCAGCAGCCAGCACTATGCCACTACATATGTATGAATACAATGGTTGTCGATGTATACAATGGTTGTCTGTCTATACAACGATGGTCTTTGTATGCGTCAGTCACTTGATAACCGAGTACGCCGGTTGCCTTTGTTTCTGTAACGTTGTTGAAAATAACACGTGAAGCCGCATGTGCAAGAAAATATCTAGCTGACAAAATGTCGACAAGCATGTTATTACTCCTAATGTATATGAGAGACAAAGATGCCCCATGTAGCCTTTAACTGACTTTCGGGGCAAGTGCTGTTAGTGAGCACCTATGAAGGCCGGCACGGCACACAAGGGGGTGGGTGGCCAACAACATAAACACATTGTCTTTATGACAGCTCTGTTTCTTCACCTGAGGACGACTGCTTGTGTTGTGGCCGAAACGTCCTGAGAATTTTTATCTTATTATGTTTTATTTTTATTATTTCCGTTCTACCTGACTTTACCGAAAGAACCAAGACGAACAACATATATACACACACACATCTGTGTGTACATTTTTAAGACTCGGGACACATTCACTTATTCGGTGTTGTCAGGCTGAGTCAAACAGAATGAAGAGATCGCTCCTTCAGGTAAAAATCGTTGGCATCTTGAGCTGCCGTGAGTGAGCACGTTGTCTGAGGAGTCAGGCTTCATCCCGGCGGGTTGCCATGCAAGAGCCCAGATGACGCTCGGCGCTCATCACAAAACGACACCCACTTCGACTGCTGCCTCACGGGGCATACGCAGCAGTGGATCAATTTAGCGGTAATGTGTCGGTCGGACACTCAAACTAATTAGCCAATTGGATTTTTTTTTGTTGGCGCGTCAAGCTAGCCAGGGATACCAGTGTGCTCATAAAAGCACCCTGATTTGTTCCAGGTTTGTATGAGGCCGTTCGCCTGCGTCGGAGTGTGCTCGAGAGCTAACGTGTTGGGGAAGTGAAGGGGTGGGGGGTGTTAGGTTATTTAAGCTGTTTTGTATTTTTGCCAAAGTGCCAGCGGTGAAATTGTTTTACGAGCCACGCTCCACAGGGAATCACTCTTTCCATATCGAGGGCCCCCCTCTGACCAGCGCGGTGAAATAACCCCCAGACAGAAAGCAGCGATGGGATGAGGCATTCCTGAGCTTCTCCCAGTGACCTTCTACCGTGCTCAAGCAGACAGTGATGGCTGTGTGTAATTACGATAACATAACTTCAACAAGCATACTCATCGAGATATTTTAGCAACAGCGTTTTCTCATTCTAGTTACTGAAAAGTGAACACGGTATTCTCCGGATTACAGAACATACCTTTGATCACTGTGGTTGAAAGTTGAGAAGTCAGGGGATGTGTGTTGTAATCCGGTGTGCGTGCGCGTGCGTGATTAGAGTCGTGTAACCTTATTGACACCGGGAACAAGTTTTGGGAGTGTCTCTTTGGAGCAATTTTACAATCCAGAGAACAAAGAAATGCCTCGAGGCTGAATCCTGAATTGTCATGTTGCAAGCATTCACTAAAACTCCCACGTGTCACATTTCAGGGTGACAATTTTACATTCGTCAATTCTATTAGAAAAACACTTCGGTGAATGTAGCGGCAACTGGCGGATTCCGATGCCTCACAAAGCCACTACGTACAATATACACAAGTGAAAAACATTCCATTTGAATTAATGCGTGCATTGTGAGCTTGAGAATCAATATTAACCAAATAACTGAGCTATTGTTAAGACCTTTCAGAGGCAGCCTGATGACGAAAGTCATCCATATTGAGCATATTCTTCTGGGAAAACATAAACGATGGCCCAACCTGGGAAGACAAGTATGTCATAAAGACAGATTCCACTCACTCAAGCTGCCTTGGAGCACTTAGAATCGTAAGACCAGCAAGGGTGACACAAGGTGTCACTGAAGGCTGCTGTGTGGATCCCTCTAATGGTCCGAAGCCACTTGTGATGTTTAGGCATCCTGACCTGCTAAGCCCAGAATCCATGAAAAAAAAATGCCCTTCATGCCTCCCACTGGCAGAGAAATTAAAGGACAAGGGATTGAGGCAGACCCCGCTGGAGAAAGGCATAAGCTCCGTCGCCAAATATGTGCACTGCCGAATTGATGTTCCCTTAGTGGGCCTTCAATCGAATTGAAAACCCCAAAATAATCCCTACAAGTGGCCTACACTTGCGAGTGGTGGTGGTGCAGGCGCAGCTCCTTCAAACCCATTCCAACAGACAACAGAGAAGGCTCAAACACACAACTCTCTGGGCCGCTCCGCAAGGGCCTCATAGAACACACGGTGCGCACTTTGCCGAGGAGAGCGTACGATGCACGACAATTAGGGAGCCAAAGTCACCGTGGGTCCCACCCAACAAAGTGGGTCGCAATTTACATTCGTGGGTCTGGGCATAGTTGAGGCTGCGGTTTAAAGGGCTGCATGGACACGGCACGTGGCAGGGCACGTCACGCGTGCACCTCGGCGTGCGCTGGGATATATGTGCAGCTGCTGTTAGCGCCGCTGTATCTGCACACGCAAGAGTGCGTGCTCTTAGCTGCATGCGTACATACAGGTGTGCCAGGATAAGTGCGTGTGTGTGTTTTTGTCTGTGCGTGCGCTGCGCTATGAACCTGGCGACCTGAGTTATATTCCGTGTTGCTGGCCACCCACACCCACGTGTGCTGTGCCGGCCTTCATAGCTGCTCGTTGACGGGACTTGCACTAAAAAACTCTGTGCGAAGGCTACACTGCGGATCTTTCGTCTTTGTTTGTGGCAGCGCGATATAAAATTCGTACACGCGGCGCGTGTGTTTGTGCGTACGCAGGGGATCGTGCGCGTGCCAAGCGCGCGTGCCACACGTGTAGGGGAGGGGGGGGGTGCTTCCCCTTACCTGATGTTATCTTCCCTAATGATGACCAGGAAGACGGGCCGTCCGTGCATCTTCCAGTTGTGCTTAATGAACTGCAGCGAATTCTGTGGGAAGAGCACGCGCGGAGGGGGGTTGGTGGGGGGGGGGGGCGGTTAGCTCGCACGCCACGGCAAGCAGAATAAAGTAACGGCACAGAGGAAGGCGGTGGGGGGGGGGGGGCTGGGGGGATGACACCGCGGGGCGAGCGCTCACGAGAGAGAATGGCGACGTAACAGCAAAGGTAGGGCGGCGGCCATTGGAATTCAGCGTCAGCGAGCGACGCGGGGCAAAGAAAAAAGGTCACCGAAGTATTTAAGTTCAAAACGAAGGGGCGCGGGGTGGGGGGGGGGGGTAAAGGCTGCGTGTCACGTATGGGTGACAGATTTGCAGTTTTTTTTACGGCGATAAAAACTTACCGTGTTAGGTACAGCTGTCAAAATTTCGTACTCAAATCTTTTTTCAAACACGGACACGTCACTCGTGATTAATACAGCCCACAGTGTAGTAATTACATTGTATATCATCTAATATTCAAGCTGACATATAGGTAGAGGCAGTCATACTTCATATATAAATACGTTATCTCTGCATTTACATATAAATTAAACTCTTAGAGAATTATTAAAAATACCACGAGGATTAACCAGGCCATAATATAAAATTTGCCCATGCATATCATTAAAGTTCATTTACTACTTGGTCTACTTTGAACAAATGTGCACCAGAGGTGATGATAACGAACGTAAATACAGAGACCGCAGGACCTTATCCGTCGATGTTTATCATTAAGTTAATTGCAGTGTGTCTCACGAACATCACACAGGGTCACAGTTAAGCTGGTTTTACATACCCACGTGAATCTAAGCCAACTACAATATCTATTACACTCAAGAATACTTAGTAAATTAGAGGGATGATGATAAATGTGCTATTAACATGCAGTTAAATACTGGAATGACGATGATGGAACTTACATGGGGGTGAGTGCGGCAAATACTTCTCGATGATTATATTCAACACATCATTTATTTTGTGTAACGTCATCAATGCAAGCCACCTCTTAGCACAATGGGGAGCAGGTTTTGCATGAAACTACTTTCCACACTTATCCATTCTCCATCGAGGGTCATTAACAACATTCACGACCTCTGCAATCGTGAAAATGCATCGAGTGTCGCACGTTGGCACGGCTATTGCGACCTCAAGCAATGCGTGAAAGTCTACGCGTATTTTCAATATTGCGTTTTTTGTACATTTTGACAGCTGCTCAATTACGCGAAAATGTTTGCACGCTCGCGCGCTCCCGCGTGCATCTCTACGCGTCCGAGGGTCCGTCAGGAATGTTTATATGCAAAAACCCCGGTCCGCGTACAATATTGCAGCGACGCTTCATTTGGGCACGGTCAAAGGCCACGAGTAATGCTGGCTGACGATCCAGAGTGTGGCCGTGCTTTACATCGGCTCATTAATCCTATCGGTCGCACAGCTGTGCCTCTATAATCCCGCACGGCCGCGAGGCATGGCCAGGGGACAGAGGCGAGGGATGTTTGGGCCAGCAGAGGGCGCAATTTGGAAGCATCAGGTCAGGAACATTAACTTGGAGAATGTACCATGCCTTCGAGGGACAGCACTTCAATTATCGAGTGTGCGTGCGCGTGTCTAGGAGCGCACACTCCGGGGAGCAGTGGCACAGTGGTTAAGCCCATTGCACTACGAACCTGAGCTTGATTCCCCGACATTATTAACATCGTAATAGTGATAGGTTATGACCCTTTCAACTGGTACAAAAACTGACACCTTTATACAAGGCATCATGTTTGCAATAACCACAACACAATCAGTCAAAATGCAAACAAAAATAAACAACTCTGATGATGATAATGATATGCACTGTCCTTGAAGTTGATTGGTCCACACCCGAGACAGCTTTTCTTAGAGCCTAGTCTCCATTGGTGTTGGACCAGATGACGCCAAAAGGCGTACAACTCAAAGAGAGCGCACTATCAGAGTATTGAGAGCTCGGGGTAAGCATTTACACTATGAGACCTCCTTTAGCAGTGGCAAAAAATAGTAATAGGTTTTTACCCTTTCAACTGGTACATTATTAACATCGTTAGCAAGTGGGGACAGGAACTATGCTTGGTTTCACAAGAGTTTGACTTATAAGAGCTGGTGCCACGTGTGAAAATCAACACCACCAACCCACTCCTGGGCTGTGTTGATGTTAATAGATGCTCGAAAACAGCACCTACCCCAACAGTCTACAAAGATAAATGGGGGTATCGTTGTCTTTTTTGCCTAACTGTGCACCGTACCGTGCTCAGAGATACAACGATGTTAAAATACATCTAAATCCAAGGTGCATTCTATTATATGCACACATGTGCTATTTATATGGGAACGCTAGAACAGTGGTTCATTCACTATACCATGGTCCCAGTAGCGTGGATTTAATTCCTAGCGAAGATACACAACATCAGTAGCGCCGAAGCTATGGAATGTCTTGCCACTTGATATCAGGCAGAGTCGGTAGAAATATTTAAGTGTGGTTTAAAAGCTCACCTCTTTAAACTGCCTTAATTCTTTAGTTTGGTCGGTTGTTTTCGTTTTTTGAGATGGCGCAGTAAAATACAGCAAAATATCAAGCCACCAAACTGAGTGCATTTTTTTACTTAACAGATGTTCGCGAAGAGAACTTGTCCCAACAGTCTATTGGGCCAGACAGGAAATCATCGCTTTCTTTATGTAATCTAATATTGTTTAAGAAACCTAACATCGATTGCCCGCTACAGAGAAATAGATGTTAATGGCTTGGGTGACTGATCTCAATAACATTTAACTCATATTTCTTCATTATCAAATGCTTTATTACCCAGCCACAGAGGCAGTAATGCGTGTGCACGTACAAATATATAATTAATTGGGCGTGGGTTCATCCAAGTTTATCAGGGCGCCTGTGTCAAGCATGATCACCAGATGTAATGTGAATTGTCATAAAAACTATCAATCATTAAACAAACCACGATGACCCCGGCGATGACGTGAGCAAAAGCAGTGCTGCTACATTTAGCTGATAGCCCAATGCATTATTGCATGTAATATTCATACACGCGGCACATGCATGCGCGTCCTATATACGGGATGTATGCATGAACATAGACGTGAACATTCGAATGTGTGCATATTTGCAAAAATACAGCAGCGCTTCTCTTATCCGCGTTGATTTGGGGCAATAAAGGCAAATCGTAATTCTAGATTTGTTTTCTCTGATACCAAAGTACTCTGCAAACCTCCCCGGGTACTACCGATTTGTCCATGAAGCCATCCAGATATACAAACATAGACACAACTTCAACCGAGAGCGTTTAGACGCTGTCTTTCCGACAGACCTGTTCTTCACCTGACGACGGCTGCTTGCGTTGTGGCCGAAACGTCGTGAGAATTGTATTTTATTATGTTTTATTTTTATTATTTTATTATTTCCCTTCTACGTGACTTTATCGAAAGAACCAAGAAGAAACAAATGAATGTTTGCCGCCATACGTGGGCGAGTCCTCTTATCTGCGGGTAAGCGGGGATGACGGGAGGATTTCTCGTGGAGATAAATAGGAGATCCGCGGATAACTTTGCGCCATCAATAACCGGAGTGGACAACGGCGACAGCGCGGTGGTTAGCACACCGAGCTCTGAAACCCGGCAACCCGGGTTTGATTCCTGTCCATAGTCTCGCGTCAGCGGCGAGTGGTATCTGAACTAATCCTGGGTCTTCCCCCCAAACCCACTTCACCAACCTGCGATGATCAGTATGGCGATGAGACACTGCATGTCAAAACCGGCCCCGGGGTTTGCTTGTACTGAATCAACGCTGCTGAATATATGCATATGCCAAAAGGCAGTTGGGCCGATAGGTGATGTAAAAAATACCTTATTTGTATGTGTGCGGGGATACGTAAAGGAGAAATATTGTCTGCTTATAAATGGTACGATCACTTCCACATGTTTATAATTCAATGGCGATGTAGTGATGTCAAAACAGTGTTATAATTCCACAACAGACTGTAAAATTAAATGCGTTCTTCTTATTAACAAAACTTAACTCATATCAGACAGATTTGGGCACGTTACCAAGGCTAGTGTTTGCAAGATATCAGCTATTTGTCTTTTGGATTGGAATCTTCGTGCTCGCTACAACACTTGCCCCAACTGTCACCGTGGACAAATGTGCAGATGCAATTGCTCTGTTACCAGGATGTCATCGATGAGGAGCATGACATCTTGGGACATGTAGAAATCACTCAGGTCGAACACGAGCGGACACGGCACCACCGTCTGCCCCAGGATCCGGTAAATCTGCCACAAACACAAACGCTCGTCACCATCCACTCATCCCTAACGAGCGACTTGAGCTGAAGTTGAAACTTTTCTCGCGCAAAATCTTTTTTGTTGCCATATTGCTGTGCGACGTCCCGTGAGAAACAATGAAACTGCACAAAGTGAACCGTTCAAGTGAATCGCAGCTCATGAAAACAAATCAAATGACTGGTGTTTGCGCCATCCTTATATACCATATGGCTGTAACGAGGCACATATGTCTCATTAATAAAGTCGAGGCTGGAGAGACCTAAGTAAGGCCTGACCTTTCCACCATCCCTATCCTCTTGCCTAGATGTCCTGCCCTAAGGAGCCTGGCAGCAGTTCTATGCAAATAAAGGCACTGGTTTGGCCTTTGAAAAAAAATGTCTTTCAAACAAACAAGGTTGGAAACAATTTAAATAAGGGTAAAATAACTACACTGAGTGTGTACATTAAATTAATCAAAACACACTAATTCAGCTTTCTGCCATAAATATATCCATGCTGTCAATTATAAATAAAATCCTGCCATGTTTAAAGTTTTCTTTGGGATTTCCTCAATGACCCCTGTGACCTAATCCGGCCAATCAATTGCTGTTGTATGCACAACAGCAAACATCAAAAGGGGTTAGAACAGTTGCACGTTGCATCCTTGCATGCAACTTAATTTCTAGAGTGGGCAGCCCATGGTGAACATAGCAGCATAAACAACATCATTGTAAGTGACACTTAGGATTGGCAAATGTCCTCGTAGCTGCTGTCCTGGGACATCTGCAAGTCTTCCCGGGACATTAACATTCTCAGTTTTTGTCAACTGTGTAATCATACACCACTCAAGACAATGCATTTACGTGTAGTTCTCGCCTGTTTAACTAAACTATATTTTATTTAACCAGGTAAGGCCTGTTTAGCGATCTAGCTCTTTTTCAGATGTGGCCATAAATGATAGCTCAACTAAGTGGCTTATCATGTGGAAATGTACAGCAGCCAACTACTCTAAATGTGGAGGGGAAAAAACTGAGGACCCGGAGAAAAATCCACGTGACCATGGGGAAAACATGCAAATTCCAATTAGTCAGTTTAACACGTAGGCTTTCGCGACCAATATTATTCATAATCAACGTTTTTGGGTTTAGATCGCGCTATTTATAAATGTGTCGTAACCCTCCACCACCCGACACGGCCAATCAGCAAAAAAGTGTAAATTCCTTATAGGGGAAACAAATACTAATTAACTGATTACTAACGTAGCATATAACATAGGCACCATCCTCGGAGTCTGCTTAATTGCTAAAATAAAATAAGATTAATGTCCACGAACCGATAAGCCTTCTGGGCCAACGTAAATTTCCGTTAATTGCAATGCATAGCTCACCTTTGATGTCCCAAGGCAGCCCAGAGGGCGATCGGGTCTCCCAGAGAGTCCCAGTTTTTCGTTCACTCCCAGGTACTGATAGGCCTGTGGGGAGACACAGCGAGCGGTGATATTTGAATTCAGGGAGAGCATTTTCCACTCAGAGCAGAGAGGGCTTCTGGGAAGGAGGGAAGGGAAGGCAAGGGGAGAAGAATGAGATGGGTCTGAGCTCTGATCGTTGAGTTGGGTGTGACTCCTTGTTTCTACAACATTCACACAATTTTAGTTTGAAAAGTAAAATATATTTTGCCGGAGACTTTAATAATATCCCCGTTGTCACCAGTAAACATTTTATGCACTCCTTCAGCCTAGTGAACATGGATGGCAAAATCAATGTAAGTAATAAAATAATAATGTCCAGCTGTTTGTCAATCCCCTGCCGGATGAAAACTTTTGGGGGTCATTTGGCCATACTTTACTCTGCTGGTCAGTACGAGGTGGCGAAAGGGGAGGCCCAGGACTGGTGCAGATATAATATAATTCTAGATGTGAAGCTTTCGTGACTGCAAGGATTCATACCTCTTAGGCTTTTTCGGTAAAGTCACATAGGTAAAATTTTTTTTTATAGAAGTAGTAATAGAAATAAAATAATAAATCACGACGTTTCGGGTGCAACACAAGCGTCCGCCATCAGGTGGGACAACCACAGCAAGAAACACTTCAGCATTTGTTTTGTGATTTATTATTTTATTTCTATTATTACTTCTATTAATTTTATTTTTATTTTTTACCTACGTGACTTTACCGAAAAAGCCTAACAGTACAGATATAATTTGCCACTGGTGTTAGCCATGGCCCAGCTAAGAATGGAACTCCTCCGGTCACTGGGTCGTGGTCTATTGCGCAAACTCGCTGCGCCACTGCTCCGCCGCACAGTATCGATGTGCAGAGTCCTAATGAGGGCGACGCTTTAAATTAAAAAGGCGGGCGAGAGTAGTAAATGACGAAAAACAGGGGAGGAGGGATAGCAGCTTTTCTAGAATAAAAGCAACGGCTTGCACATTTAACGCTCGGCAAAGATGCTAACTTCATTTATTTTTTTGCTCCCGCCAAGACGATCGATATAACGCATAGATCAGTGTAAGCCATCTTTCCAAGGCACTGGTGTAATTCCAGCAGCAATAAAAGCTTTCGCCCACCATTCCATCCCATTAATCTCGAAGCAGCCGTATCTACCGAAGTTGAAAGTAAACAAAAAATTACTTCTCACACAAGGTACTGTGAGCCACAAGTCTATTTAATCAATCCTAATGACCGTATCCTCATGCAATTGAAAACGTTGCTGTGGATTTCAATTACTTATAGAAGTTTTCATCGGCCGCTGTTTTTCTCCACTCGAGAATCGATACGAGTCTTGACATCTTGCGGCAGACTGAAGAGATTGGGATTAACTTAAGAGGGCTGCTGCTGCTGCTGCTCGAGTCTGTGAAGCTTTATTAAAAACAAGATCACGTGTCAGTGCGATACCCAGGCCGCGGCCGGCATCACCTCTCCCATCTCCCGCAACTGCTCGCTATCACGGCCAACAGGCCGAAACTCTTTTTCCCCAGCGTTTGTGTCAACAAATCCAACTTGAACCTACAGTACTTTCACAGCAAATGTTAAAACTGACGGCTAATAATTAGGGGGAGTGATGCACATAGTGGACAGCACACTGCCCTCTTGGGTTTTGAGACGGCACATTGCATTCTTGATTCCTGGCCGCGGCCAAAATCAGTGGTGAGTGACATCTATACGTTTCTGCGGCATGTTGAACTTATTTCGCATCGTACGTAGCCAACCGTGGCTAATCGACCCCGAGCCCCCTACTTGACTAACCAGCAGGGTGAAGTATGATCAATCGACCCTCATGATCGACATGTGGGTGGGAGGCCTTCATACAGCAAGGGACTTGCAAAGGGCTGTATAGAGTACAGTACGAATGAGTTAACTCAGCTGCGAATTTAACGGCAAAAATAAGCGTCTCTGCGATTCTACTCTATGGGGACCTCATTTGCCAGTAAAAATATGATAATTGGTTCTTTACCCTTCTATCTGGCAACAAAACTGACACCTTTTTGCAAGGAGTCATGTTTGCATAGACCGCAATACCTGCAGTCATAAATACAAACAAAAGACATAACTCTGATAATGTGCAAAAGGCGCACAACTCAAGGACAATGCATTGTCCTTGAGTTGTGCGCCTTTTGGCGTCATCTGGTCCAACCCATATGAGACTAGGCTCGAAGGAAAGCTGTCTCGGGTGTGGACCAATCAACTTCAAGGACAGTGCACATTATCAGAGTTATGTCTTTTGTTTGTATTTATGACTGCAGGTATTGCGGTCTATGCAAACATGACTCCTTGCAAAAAGGTGTCAGTGCTTCTTCTTGTTTCTTTCGGTAAAGTCACGTAGAATGGAAATAATAAAATAATAAAAATAAAACATAATAAAATAATTCTCACGACGTTTCGGCCACAACGCAAGCAGCCGTCCTCAGGTGGAGAACAGGTCTGCCGAGAAGACAGAGTCTGAATGACACACCCCAGGCTTGGAGCGACTATTTAAGCTGGGATGGAGGGGGGAAGAGCGCCTTGACAAAATAATTTGCATATCAAGAGGAATTTAGCATATTTATGGGAAATGCAGATATGCGATTAGTACTACTTGTGAAATTCGTAGGAGGTGCCGTTTCTTCGCGCTCCTGGTCCAAGAGCAGGCCTTTATCTCGCCCTCCTCTCCTCTCTACACACCGCAGCTGCCTGAACTCCGCGATGGACATCCCGCGACGTTGAAACATCGTCAAAGAAGTGCGGTTGAACTCGTTCGTGAGACAAATCCGAATTTCAATGCATCGCCCACCGCTATGACACACAGCCCCATTGCTCCCTGATACTTTCACATAATATGGTAGCCACGTCCAACTGCTTTCTCACCATACGTAGCCAACGGTGCTAATCGGATGTGCAGTGTGTGAAGCAAAATGTTATCAACTTTTGCCAATACATTATAAAACATCCATGCATAACGTTACATTATTTCTTTCCAACTACTCCTTTATGTTGGAATACCGTACCAAGTGGCACACAGAAAGCATACGGCCATCAATCGTGCCACCATTCGGAAGACATTATAACGTCATCCCGTGAAAGTGTAGACCACTTCAAGATTAAAGCACCCCGCCTCTGATAAGACTCCCGATTGCATTTGACAGACGTGGAAGTCTCTCTTGAATGCACAGTGGCTTTCTGAAATTAATGGGCTTCGATCGCACGCACGAAAACAGAGAAATCTCATTGGTCACACGCTGGGCTCAAGCAGCTGTTCAATCTGAGATGGAGCCAAGTGGAGTTAAAACACAGGGCTTTGTGATTCTACACGAGCAGTAAGATAAGATAAACTGGGCATCTGTGATACCGGACATCTGCGAAAGAAGAACTTTGTATCTCATTGGATTTCTCCGGTATAAATAAATATTCTGAAGATGCTGAAAGCCCATCGATGGACTTCAAGGTTCAGTTGATTTGTCTCGGTTATCTTCAGGTGAAAATGTCAACAGCTGCTCACGAGAGCAACTGGGGCGAGTGTATGAACGCGACGGTTCTGGCTTGCACTGCGAGTGTGTGAGGCTAATGCTGACTGGACAAACATAATTCACGGGTTCCGCATGCACTGAAGTTTTCAGCTGATCGAGTTCAAACTGGGGAAGCTGAGAATATTGGAAATCTATACACCTACATATCGATTGCCATTACCCCCCCCCCCCCCCCCCCCCCCCCCCACTAATCGTTTGCTGAGAACGACTGGCGAATCAGTTCAAATGTGACGGCCGGATTGATCAGGATCGGTGACATGACAACCGCACCCCTCCAATTCGCGTGGTTGGTGCCAACGAAGTTTAATGTGCGTATGTACACCTGTGCGCCGTGCAACGCTTACTGCCGTCGCCGTGGCTCCTTGTGAAGAAGGTGACACATGTATGTCACTAGATTTCAAACGAGAAATGCCGGCGAGTAGATTCACCGCACGCACGAGCAAAATCAAACCGACGCGAAAGCAGTCTGCCTTCAGAGTTCATCACTACCTCTTACGGCGGAGATTTAAACCCAGCCGGCCGTGAAAGCACAAGGCACTCCATTCCGTGCGTTGACTCCGCGTCGCGCTTTCAGTTTCGCAGGATGCGCTGCGACTACATCGCGCATCCAAGGGGAGGCGCTCAAGGCTGCACCAACGGCACAGAACGCGAAAGAAACCCCCGCACAGATGCGCTGGCAAAAAATTCATTACGATTGTACAGCGGCGTATCCTCGCTTGGTATGCGTCTCACATCCCCTGCGTTATTGCCGCCGCTGTTTAGCCGCTCCTCCAAACTACAAGGTGTCACTCTGCGTCGTAAAGTGCGCATTAAAATGTCATCAAGCCTGTAATAATTGTAAAGCAATCGGGCTAAACTCCAATTACGTGCAACGCAAAAGGTGGAATGCTAATCATGTTTTTTCTTTCCCGAGACGTGTGTTTGTAATTTGAAGATGTTGCCCATGAGTGTGTAAGGGAATGCGCGACTCCCGTTATTGCACGGACGAAAAGGGGGAACGCATTTCATAGGCAAATTCAGTGACACTGCCTGCATACCAGGCAGTGTCAAAGCCTTAACCGCATCTCAAACAAGTAAATAAGGGGAGTTTTTCACCGAAATATTTCATCTCCCTTAATTACCCCCCCTACTTGCAACAAATATATTTATGTTTCACAGAGCAGATTAGTCAAAGGCTACCGACTGAAATAAAATGGGTGGTTGGGTATCGAAACATTTTTTTTAACTACCAAAAGGTTAGAAACTCGTGTTCGGGAATCTAAGACGTCCTGGCAGGGTTTGCAGATAACAATGCAAAACTTCCTGCTAACTCCTGAGGCAGTGAGGGACGCATGCCATAACAAAGTGCACGGGATTGGGTTAATGTTTGCTGACGTTACAGACACTTTTTAATTTGGAGCTCAATTTTACTCAAATTATCATGCTGACTTTTCCAGAACACTTGCCAGGGCTAAATGTTTGCTGCACTCAGCTACTCAAAGAGTTTCCCTTTGGATAAAAACATGCTCAGTTTCCGTAAAACACACACGCAGAGTTTGTGGACTATGATGATGATTATAATGCTTTCAGAGTTGTACAGGTCAAAGGACTAAAATGATCCTTTATTCTGCAAAAGTTGTACAATCAAACCTTTGTTTTAAGAATTAATGGAAACGCATGCCAATTAAAATGTCACCGAAGTTTGACACTTTCTCAAATCGTTAAGAAAAATCACATGGTTTGAATGTATTCATTTAACAATGGATTTAACATTGTCTATCCCATAGACACTTAAGCTTCAACTTATAATGAGCAGTCATAACTCATCCTGTCTTCCAGAACCATCTAAGTGTAAGCTTATTACATGAAATACACTTTCTCATTGACGAAATGTTACTAAATGACGTTCTGCTTTACGGACCAAAAAGAAATATATTTTGGCCTTTAATTCTGATGAAGAAGCAATGATCTAAAAACTTGCGTGTGGTGGCATAATTATTAACACAAAAGCTTGTGCCAAAACTCATAACCTCAGTGGTGCTTTGATAAATCTCTGATTTCCACAAAAAAAAGCAATTTATATCAAATGGATCGCTTAAAGGGACACAGGGAGATGACAGCCTCCATGAAATCACGCTGTGAGAAAAGGAAAAAAAATTACAGAGGGTAGGACACGCAATGACAAAATAAATTCATCTCAGCTTGCATCCAACTGTCTGTCTCTTTGCTGCAGCGAATCCCATTCCTTTCTGTTGTGCCTACACTTCTGCAGGATGGGCCACTGACAGGTCACAGGTGTCATTGTTTCTATTATTATTATGATGGGACATTTGAAGCAAACATTCAAATTTATTACGCATGCCGTTCCAGAGAAGTAGGACATCCTGGAATATGTTCAACACCTCGCTGTAATGAATTGGATGGAGGCAGTGGCAATGTTTCTCTTGATACGCTTGTGGGTGTGAGCGTGTGTTTTTTTGTATACGTTTTGAAGGAGGGTAAACACTGGTGGAGCGGGTCGCACAACGCACTCCACCCTCAACGGCCTGGATTCAAGCCGTGGCCAAGGCCAACGTGAATGGAAACTTGAAACATGAACCTTGGACCAGTGTAAAATCACCGCCTGGTTGTGGTGCAAATATGAACCCCCGGAAATAACAGCAATTTTCCCTGATGACCTATATCACTCAATGTAGAATCTAGTGCATGTACTCCAGTTTATGTACGTGTTCATGGGATCACAAAGTTACAACAGTATTTTAGAGAGAAAAATAACACGTACAACACAATTATATTTGGAATTAAAGAGCATCTAAACACAAACCGAATCACAAGGTCGTGTGTAGAACAGTAGCCAATATGTATTTTACAGAGGCATATTTACATCAAGGGACATGTAATTACGTTATTGAATTTAATTGGATTTTTTTTGTTGGAGTGCTACCTTATTTTTGGGGTTTTTCGGTAAAGTCACGTAGGTAAAAAATAAAAAAATAAATTATTTTAATTTCTTTTATTAAAAACATTTTTTTACCTACGTGACTTTACCGAAAAAAACCCAAAAGTGTGGATCCTTGTAGTCACGAAAACTTCAAATCTAAAATGCTACCTTATTGTTTGATCAATGAATGCAACAGAAAGACCAGCGGTCAGAGTACAGGGCCTTGGCTCTTTTGCCTTGGATGGTGCCTAGAATAGAACAAGGGGCGTCCTGTGACCCTCCAATACTGGGTGACAAGCGCTTCAGTGTCCCATTGTTTTTGTTACTTCAAAAGTCAAGCTTCAAGGCAGAACAATTTGTATTCTTAAGTTTTCGTCAAAAGTGACACGCTCGCCATTCTACCCCACTCCCCCATCTCGAAAGTGAAAAAGGTTAGCCCGTGTACAACCCCATGTTTAATCAACCCAAGTTGCCGTAGATTCATCATCATTCATCATCCTCAATATTACTCCCGTGGCACTTCTCAGGCACAAAGGTGAAGCAAAGTGCTCACCCCCCAAAAAATAAACAATCAGCTTTCAAAGAGAACGAGTTGCGTTCCGGGATGTGTGTGTCTGCGCGTGTGTTGAACTTCTCCCGCAGCGCATGTAGCCAACCGCAAAAAAAGTCGGTGCGAAATGCCACACAGACACACGTGAAGACGAATGTTTCACACGTACGCACGTACACAATGAGTGTCACGCTGAAGGCAAAAAAGACTCAAAACAAACGAAAACCATCAAGAGGGAACACGGTTGTGGTTACCGTACGTAGCCAACCGTGCTAATTTGAGGTGCCGAATGGGCAAATACACAGGCCAGTGAATTCAACGCAAAATGAACCAGTCCACACCTTGACTCCACTGCACGAAAGATCCTTCAAGCACGTGATTTTCAGGTAGCACTTCAAAGCAATTCAACTTTCAGACAAACGTTTAAAAGAATCACTTCAAATCGGAGTCATTTCTCGGAAGGGCAATGAGACGTGTTGAGAAACCATATTGACCGCGGGGTGCTTGGATGGACGGTAATGTGGTGGGGGGGAGGGGGGGTGGGTGGCAGATGCGGTGGTACCTTGACGAGCTCGTGTTGAGGCCAAATCTGAATGGGCTCCACTTGAGAGGGCGTCTGCGTCGCGATCCCGTAGGTGTTCAGGAACGCCTGCAGTCTGCCGGAGCGCGGTTTGGGGACACAAAAAGTGACGGCAGGGTTGGAAAAGTTCCGGGAAAAATAATAAAAGCGGAACGGGTGTGAGTAACGCGGCTCACGGCGAGGACCCACGGCTTTGCGTCCGCTGCATTCGCGCACCCTGGTAAACGTTTCGTGGCAGCGGCCATCTGCGCTGGGCATTTTTAATGGGACACAGTGACTAACCTGAGTGGCCAATAGTAGTTTGTACAGGGGTGGTTATCTTGTTAATGTGAAGAATAGTGACGCAAGCTTTAACTGTGAATCCACTAAACAATCCAGGCAAGTCATGATGTAGGAATGTGAGAGGTGCCCAACAAGAATCCACATTTTTTAAACAATTTTTTTTTTACTGACAGAAAATTGTGTATATTCATTCATGGGCAGCAACATTTTATATTGATTTTTTTAATTATGGAAATGAATGAGACTCCACCCTCTTTCACCAACGTGGAACCATGCCATCATCGCGGTGGGAGGTGTTGTTTATCACAAGGGCCGCAAACTCATTTGTATACAGCAGTGGAATTTTCGAAACATCGCCCGTCTGGGCCCATCCTTCAAAGGGCCTAACAGACAAAGAAAAGAGATAAAAAACTAACACAAAAACGAGTACGAGTAGACCGTGGGTACGGGTAGACCGTGAGTCACTGGTGAGTAACTGTTTGTCACTCATTTCCCAACGTCTTGTCTCTTCTCACAATTGAAGTTCCTAAAATCAACCCACCCGTGCCTGCAACATGGCTTCATCCCAGAGGTCGCAATCAGGTACTCGATACCCGTACCCTACCCGTACCCGGCCGGGTACGGGTAGGGTACGGGTACGGCTGGGTACGGGTACCCGTTTGCGACCCTGGTGCGGCCGGGTACGGGTACGGGTAAGAAATCAAAACCCGTTTGCGACTTCTGCTTCACGATCATGTGTGGTCTGGAATTGTGACGTTCGACGAGGACGTTTCGATTGCTAAATGTTTGAGCGTACTCTCTTGACTAATTCTGTATCAAAAGCCATCTTTTTGTTTGTATATATAAAGAGGCGACAGAAAATGTAATGAAATATAATATTAGGAGGCATTGCTTTTGGAATATTCCTCAACATCTGGTAGAAATCATGAATCAGCATGCTTCACCACTGCATTGTTAATTATTTGATATGGTTATACATAATTACGTTTAAATATTATTTTGCATACAAATTAAAACGACAATCGAGTGAACAATACAATTTCGCCCATGCCTTTATGTGCACTAAAATGAACACTTATTAATCCTGTCCATTCATGATAATAGGCCCACCACATGCACAATTAGTTTCATTTTGTTGACTTATAACCACGTGATTTGAAACAATGTGTTACGATTTCTTTATTCCGTGAAAAGCCTGTAAACGTCTGATAAATTTTACAAAAACACAAAATACCAAGTCAAATTCGAATTTGACAGAAAATTATCGCTACGGAGATGAGTCAATTCGGTGTTTACCTGTGTCAGACATTTCCATAGCTTTAATGTAAACTGTCCGCGGTGTTATTATTTATTTTACAGGAGACCCACTATAATATTAAATTTAGGCTCATTACCATTACAGATCAAAAGTGGCAAGGGGAAATGTGTGCCAGTTTTATTTTAACACGTTCAAACCCCCCCCCCCCCCCACCCAATACTAACAACACTAATGAGCAATTCAGACCTCACTGACCCAGCCTGTCATTCTGGAATAATTCAACTTTTTATAGTTCTCCCACGAAGGAGACCCATTCCTGCCATCGTAATGCCCCATTTGTATGAAAACTGCCACCAGATCCATTAGGTGTGCCCTCCTGAACCCGCAGTAAGTCATAATTAGGGCCCGGTAGATCCAGCTGTCTTGAGATTTGCTGTGCATGCACCACGCTGTCCACAGCCCTTGTGGGGTACTTACGTTGCATAGGAGTTGGTAGTCGGGGCTAAACTACGACCAGGTAAGACTTGACACATTAATGAAGTTAACAATAAAATGGCATTGGACCATTTTTTTTTTATTGCTTGACCATCTAGCGTTTAGCAATGCACACGTACATCTATAATAAATTAAAACTCTGGGTTGTTAAGGTGGCCATATATATTTTTCTCAACCCGCTCATGAACAAAAATCCTCCAGTTATCGCTATAGACAGAGGGCCTGTTAGTAAGCACCTATTACTCGTGGAATAGCCAATGGTGGAGAGAGGTGTAGCCAGCAACACACCTGCTCAGCTGCACTATCCCTCCTCAGTCCGATGGTGACCACTTCTGTACCTGGTACTCAATTTGGGTCGAGTCAACCTACGGGAGGCCCAAGTAAAGATATTGAATCCACGTGACGGGGATCGTAAGAAAGTGCATTCACTGATACAGCTCCCTTTCTCTCACGTGTTCTATGCCTAAGGGCAGGTCCTTGGTTCACGCTCTCCCGATCCTCTCCCGTCTTGGGATTTCATCCTCATTTCACCGTATAGACCGCCCTTCCTTCAAGCCGTCTTGCAGGCTTTTCCTTTTATTGCCTCGTGGCCTTTTCGCCGGTATCTTTACTTCTAGAGCTTCCTTCAGCAGGCCTGCCTTTCGAACAATATGTTCAATCCAGATATTTTTCCTTCTGGCAATGTTTTCAGTTACAAATCTCTCCTCCGGATCCTGCTCTGAAGACATTCCCAAGAAGCTTTCTTTCTGTGTGTCTCAACCATGTTGTAATTATTCCTTAATGTACGTATGCATGTTGAACGTCTGTCGCACCATACGAAGCCAACCGCGCTAATAGGCTGTTCGAAATGCCACAGACAAACGTAAAGACAAACGTTTCGAACGTACGCGAGCGCATGATGAGCGTCCCCCGTCACTTTCAAGTCGGAACAGACGAAAGACAAACTATGACCATTGAGAGGGAACGGCGTTGTCGACGTGACTAACTCCGCGGGTTCCAAAGCGACTCAGCTGCACTCACCTCTGGCTTTCAGCAATGAGGGCCAAGTGCACGACCACGTCATTCTCCAGCTCTCCCTGCACACCGCACACCAAGCACCGGATGTACAAAGGGAATCTGAAGGTAGACTCATCTTCTTGGTTCTTTCGGTAAAGTCACGTAGAATGGAAATAATAAAATAATAAAAATAAAACATAATAAAATAATTCTCACGACGTTTCGGCCACAACGCAAGCAGCCGTCCTCAGGTGGAAGGCAGGTCTGTCGAGAAGACAGAGTCTGAATGACGCCATTCTACGTGACTTTACCGAAAGAACCAAGAAGATGAATCCCTGCAGTCACGAAAGCTTTAAATTGAAGGTAGACTGTGCAGCCGAGACGAACAGCACCGCGTATGGAAAACCTTCGACCACGATGAAGCTTGGAGAGCTTGCTTGCCCATCGCCACATATATAGCCTTGTTGTAGCTGATTCTAGATTTGCTGTAGCTGCTCTCTCACTGGTTCAGCAGTTCCACTGCTGGATTATATTTTTTCCCACCCGAGGACGACCGCTTGTGTTGCGATCGAAACGTCGTGATTTATTTTATTTTATACGCACGTGACTTTACCGAAAGAACCAAAGAGTATGGATTCCTGCAGTCACAAAAGCTTCAAATCAAGATTGAAAATAACTCACAAAAACAAACACCACGTGAAAGACCCAACGCAGAAGAACCCTGGGTTTGATCTTCCACGAAGCTCATGGTCCCCCATAAACCGCATCTACTGCACAAACCATGGCAGACGCGGATACCTGATGCACAAATGGAACATTTAAAACTCTCCCGTGCGCGACTGTGGTCATCCAGAAGACCGTACAACGCACAATGACGAAATGCCAAATCCATAAATATGAAGGAGACATCACAGCGATACACTCCACTTCTGCTGACGCGGTTATCTGGCTAGACGACCTGAATGTGAATTTGTAGTTGTTGCTCTGCATCTACATCAGCAGTACGGAGGAAGAAGACGATTAAAACCCTCACTGTAAGTGGGCACGCCACAGAGCCCAGACTTTCACACTGCTCCTAACAGCTGTGCAGTACCCATACTATAGCCGACCGCAGGGAATTCGCCGACGGTGTTATTCATAATTGCGTGAAGCTTCATTTGTATAGACCGTCAAAAAAAAAACCCACAAAACTCACCTGGCACAAACTGTTGGGGAAAGTGGTGTGAGCGAGAGCCTATTAACCCCTTCCCGTTCCAATGACGTACGTAAAATAACTTCATCGTTGCCGAGGCTCCCACAAGGGCACGCGGGAGGGCGTGCAGCACAGTTTGTTGCCGGCTATAGTAGAGTGCGATCGCGTCGCTACGCTTCTCCGCGGTGAGTACAATGTCTTTAAAAACAATGGCGCTACGCCTCTAAATAAAATGAACGCTGAACCGCTCGCGCATTCCAAGATTCGGCGGTGAACGAGACACCCACACCCTGTAACTTGCAGACGTCTCGGAACGGCAAAGGGTTAAGATCAAAAGGAGACACGTGGGGAGAGTGGTGATCAATGCGAGGCTCTGCACTGTGGTGTACGCAGCGACGCTCACAACAACGAACAGAGCACCCGGGCGGCTAAAACGCAGCAGGTAGGCACGGTGGGGAGCGCAGATGGTGCAAATGCCGGTCATCTCAGTCGGTCAACCCATGGCACCTGGGTCTGCCCCGTGGCCTCCTGTCAGTGAGTCTATGACACTTCACGTGGCCTCAAATTGCACCTAGTCTGGCACAAGCGCCGTGATGACGTCGTTGCCACTTAGTGGCACATGAAGGTTGTTCTTGCTGCATACATAGCCTTGGAGACTTGGTGAGCCGTTCCGTGCAGCCCCACCTCTCACCGAGACTAGCAGGAGGTCTAAGAGGTCCCGTGATCCCCCCAGGTACCACTACAGCATTTGGACAACAGGAACCAATGGGACTACAAGAACTAGTATTCAAACCACTGAGACTCCTATAGAGGCCACCATAACTACCAATGGGATCACCGGGACTGACATAAGATGTATAACAAAGATCCCCCTTATAGCCTTAACAGTCAGTGGGAGCAAGTGCTGTTAGCGAGCACTGATGAAGGCCGGCACGGCACACGAAGACCACGCCTGGCTGCCTGTCTCCCGAGTGAAGATGTTTACACACCGCATCAGGTCCTTATTTGAGGCTGAGTCGACCTAAGATGTATACACATGCCGATGCTCACTTGTTTATAATTGAACGAAGATTTTAACATGGGATTTCACCCATGGAAGAATCGTGATCCCTGCGGGAATCATCAAGGGTGGTGACATCGTGGGAATCAATTCGTGAAGGAACCACCCAGCTCCAGAGGACATCGCCATCATCACCGCAAGACGCTCTAGAAAATAAGGCGGACGGAAGACGGTGGTGTAACAAAAAAGGAAACCATCTCAGCCTGCTCCGAGGCAGAACCTGGCCGGGGGGGGGGGGGGGGGGGGGGGGGGGATGGAGCCATGTGCGAGCGACCAGAGCGGGAAGGGAACAGTGGGGTGCCGAGAAACTGGCGGTGAGCGTGGGTGAACGTAACGGGGGAGGGCAGCCACCACGAGCTCGCAGAACAGAGCAGCAGCAGTAGCAGCAGCAGCGATTGAGAACGATTTACTGAACGATTATATTTCGGATGTATCATTAGCCTTGTGAGATACCAAAACCCTCTCGGTTATGGTTATGCACGTAGAAAAAAAATATGAAAAGGCGTTAAAAAAGATTGTATGCCACACACACGCGTGCGGCGTTGCGAGAAAATGCGAGGCCGATGTTGATGACAATGCGTTGCGCCATTGTGACGGGATGCGGCATAAGTCAAAGATTTAATTTGATTCGGAGGTTCTCAGAACGCATTCTGTGTTTATGTTTCACCGTATATCTTGAACAGGATCTCAACACCACAGCTTGTGCTAAAAAACACACAAGATAGCGCATGTCAGCAGCATGTCGCTTTAAAATATTTTTAATAAATTGCAAGAAATCTAATAAATATATTACAAGCTGTGAGGGTTGGGTTCACGTATAGACGGTGAAATAAAATGTTTTATTTAAAACCGGCTGAGGAGCCGCTAAGAACCAATATCCATTTGGCAAGAGTGCTTGGGGAATTAAACAATTAAATATCACGTGCACTTGTGATTAAACACTTGAGTCCAATGAGATAACAATTTGAAAATATGCACATCGCAATGAGGATTTATTATAGGAAGGCTGCGTAGATCTCTTCATAAGATACTTAGCTCATATATAACATGCAAACAAATAAATGAACCTTTCCGTTTTCATCAAAATAAATAAAAAACAAACTATTCAAGCTCCATGGCACAGACTCAGGCATAGAGGCAACTCATAACAATATAAAATGAATCTTCTCGCATCCAGATAATCCCAGCTCAAAAATCAGATCAAAATATTTTGAAAAGCAATTTTCACCTGTTGCTAATATTAAAACATCAAAAGAATCTTCATACTTATTCGAAATAAATCCCCCTGCATCGGTGAAGTTCTCGGCAGAGGTGTGTTGTTGGCCCACAAAAGACAACAACAAAAAGGTGATGAAACAGAGGAATGCAAAACCCCTCTCCCACAGCGGGATAACGGGCAGTCGGCGTCAAATCCCTCGATTTCGTGGCCGCAAGCGGTTTTTTTTTTCCCCTTCGCCTCCGAGGTCTCGCGAGCCACTTTTCCAAATGTCACCGTGGGTCAGCGAGCCCGCTCCACCCCCGGACAGCTGAGCACAGCGATCCAGAAGCTGGGCCCCCTGCTCACGCGACTCTTGTTTGTTTGTGGGAATTGGGTTTTGGCAGGGCCCGCGACAAACAAGACGAGCCACGCTCGCCGCCGCACGGCCTCCCGACGACGCCCGACGCCGCCGCCGCCTATCCGTCAGGCGCTCAAGACATATCCTCGCGACGCCCCCCCCCCCCCCCCCGTCAAATCAAACACTCGGCAGTAAACATCGCACGCCCTGCCGGCCGGCCCCGACAAGAGACGCCCTCGGCAGCAGCGAGCGGCGGCTCTCTTCGCTGCTCCCCGCACGGCATGCGCAAACAATCCGCATTGTCGGCAGTGAGAGGTAGAAGTTGTATTATTGAAATAAATAAATGAGCATTCCGATACGTATCATAAATAACATTATTATTTCTGCTGTTTACAAATGAGCCTGCGATGTCAGGATAATGTGCAAACATAAGTTAATAATGCAAATAAAAACCCAATATTGGGAAATTCTTGATAAGACATTTATTAAAATAATGCCTAAAAAATGTAGCTCTTTCACAATCCAATGGTGGATGCAGGCTTGTCAACGCCGTGTCGGTCACACCAGTTGTTGGAGCATATCTCGCCGTGCTAGTAAGTGCGAGTTGCTTCGAGTTCGGGTTATGACTGGTTCAGATATTGGTAGCCATGGCGATTTTATAGCATAATTGAATTTTGGGTGAGCCCACTTAATGATCTGAGCAAACGTGTCGTGAAAATTTCTCTACCCGGCATAGCCAAATAGACTGCAATTGTCACGTATACAAAGCGATTTAACGTTCCTTTTATGCTTGCTTTAGCTCACCGCTGAATTCAAGAGCAATTCTCACAACTGAATTTAGCAATTAGATACGACGCTTCAATTGGAAACAGACAATCAACACAATCAGGGAAAAGATCCAGGGTCTAAAAATGAGAGCCACAGAAGACTAACAATGTCACCTTGTCCAGGCTACCAACACACAATTGGTCAGCTCATTAATATGGGACTAATCCAAACAACAACAAAAATCAGTTAGGAATCATATTTGGCTATGAAAACTTACGCGTTAAGCCAACCACTGATGTTTGCCGTGGATGGGACTCCGATGCGCGACCGTCATGTTGGGAGCACGGTGCCACTAACCACTGCGCCATCGCTCCTTCCCAAATGTAAAATTAACAATCGATTTTTTTTCGACTTAAAGCTTTCGTGACTGCAGTGATTCATATTCTTGGTTCTTTCGGTAAAGTCACGTAGAAGGGAAATAATAAAATAATAATAGAACATAAT